AAAAACAGAATAGCTTATTATTAAATGTAGATGTTAACTTTGTCATTTTATTTAGGGGTTCATATCTTAAATACTGAAGGAAATTATTAGGTCATCTTTTAAAAGTGTGCCATCAAAATAAGAATTAAAATTAATGTTGTTTGCATATTTAAATCCTTTAATAAATACTGTTCAAACATTAAAGAAAAAACCACGTACAGGAACGGAAAGCCTGCCCTTCCTCCCCCAGATCCCTGCCTGGGAGCCGGCTCCCCTGCTCCCCCGGGCGGCCGGGGCCCGGAGAGGCCGGCGCTGGGGGCTCCCTCCGCCCCGGCCCCCGCCCTCCGCCCTCCGCCGCCGGCGCCCGGCGGAGCGGCGCGGGCACGGCGGCCGGGGCGCGGGGCAGGCGAGCAGCGGCGGGTGAGGGCGAAGAGACGGACAGAAGGGCCGATGCGGGCGGATAGACGCCGGGACCTCACCGGCCCCACACTCACCATGTCGCCGCGAACCAAGCCGGACGCCGAGAGGAAGCAGCGCAGCGCGCAGGCGCGGTTTTAGGCGGACGAGCGGAAGTGGCGCGCGTGCGGCCTCGCTAGGACCTGAGCTCTATGGTCCGGAGGCCTCCTCGCGCGCGCGGCCTCCTGGGAAGTGTGGCGAGCAGTCTTGCAGTCCGGTGCCCGGTGGTTCGCAGACGGTGGCACATATCCGCGTGCTCTTCCATTTCCCGCATTTTATGGACAAGGAAAATGTTAAGGGATTTGCTCACTGGCTCGTTACAGAAGTGCTTAAATCTTATGACTCCAGATCACATATTTTTTCTACATCGTATCGCCTAAAAGCAGCAGGCCCTGTGCAGGAGGCTGGCACAGTGGTGACTAAAAAACCAAGGCTCCACTCCAATGTACCATACTAATGTAAGATGTTAATAACACGAGAACTGTGGGAGTATCTCCTCAAATTGTCTATAAATCTAAAACTCTCCTGAAACATAAAATCCATTTGTAAAAAAAACTAACAACAAAACCCACAACACCAGGTCACTGCAAGTCAATTCCACCAAGGTAAGTTCTCTGTGTCTGTCCACCTCTGCATCCCAGGACTGAGCAGGGAGCCTGGCATGTCTGTGGTAATGGATACCTGTTGAATGGGAAAATGGTATCTTGCCTGGTAAAGGTTTAATTTGTCCGGGTCAACCCACTGACATCAGAACTAAAAAAGGCTTTAGGGATAATTAACCCATACTGGAAACTGGGGCCTGTGGAGGTCAAAATGACTTGCCCAAGGTCAACACAGCCAATAAACGACTTACCAGTTCTCTTTCTGCTAGACCACATGATTTCCTCAGCTGCAAAGTGAGTATTCCATACCCTGGTAAGGTTCTTTGGAGGATGAAAAAACTTTTATGAAGTGCCTAGTGGGCATTTCTAAGTGATGGTTATTACTGTTAAGATGATGATAAAACTTGATTTCAGTATCTCCTGATGCTTACTCAATGCTATTTCCTCTTCTGCCATACCCGAGATTATAACAGATCTGCTTTCTACTTTCCCTTAAAAATATGCCATTGCCTTTCTCCTTCATCTCTTTACCTTTAACAAAATAAACCTACTAGTCACAGCCACCGGATGTCCCCCAAGGGAGCAGGATGTGCCCAAGTTCTCTCAGTGCCATCACAGGCTTCACGTACCCTTTTTCTCTTTAGGGTGAAGGATAGCAAGGGGCCCAGGAGCAAGTCCCGCCTTCAGTAGAGAACACACTACAAATGGGGGATGTTTCTGGGAACTTCTCCACCAAAACTATGCCCTGCTCTCAGAAAACTATAAATTAAAAGAAGAAAATGTATTCACATCAGTGCAAAAACAGACTCATACCAGGCGCATTCAAACACGAGCAGCTAATGTTCAGGCCAAGCAGTGAGCTCACCTATCCTGGGTGAGCGGGTGAGCAAGGCCAGCCTCACATACTCTCCTGGGCTGGCTCCGGAGTCTAGTTAAGATCGTCATGTAGACATTTACCATTGCCTCACCCCCCGCCCCTTGCCTGAGTAAGAATGCAATAGAAAGGCTGAAAACGAGACACTCCATAGTGGGAGGAAATTGTTCATGTTCAGAGCAGTTTTGGCACAACTGAACGATTCTTTTCAAATAGCCAGCCTGAGGATGCACAAATAGCACTCCCATGAAATCACTTCTCAATGGCTTCCGAGAATTGTGCCTCTCATAAAATCTCAATTTGTCTTATCTGTTGGCTAATAAATCTCCGTCCCATCAGGTGTACAGATTGTTAACGGTAATGCATATCCATAAAAGTCCCAGTAAAAATCTCTGGTGAACCATCCTGCTCTCCAGAAGCACTCAAAATTTACTTTTACTTTTAGAAAAATAAATCAAGGACGCTTCCAGAGAAGAATTCTTTAAGCTGTTTAGTCAACCAGTTCTCTTGAGCAATATGGAACATTTTATCCTTCAGAGAAATCTGAGGTCCAAGTATCATCCCGAACTCATCTCATGCTGGATTCAGAGATGGTTTGTCTCAGTGGTTGGCAAACTGTGGCTCGCGAGCCACATGTGTCTCGTGAACCGTGGTTTGCCGCTCTGTTGACTAATGAGTTTGCCAACCAAAGGTATATCTGGAGATCCAGGCTCCATGTTGTTCCTTCTCTTCCTGCTGGAAGAACTCTTGCTTACCCTTCCCTGAAGTGTCTGGTGGCCACCGACATGAGCAGAGTCTGCACATAATTGTTAAGAACCTGTGGCCCAAGCTCTGCAGGGAAGGGCCAACTCAGTAAGAAGGGGCCAAAGTTTGTCAAGGCCGAGTCTTGGACACTGAGAAAGAACCCAGTGTCTGAAATGCATTCAGTGCATGGATTCTTTCCTTTCTTCCCTCCACAGATTCACTATAAATGCATTCTGGTTGTTTTAATGGAGGTTTCACAGAGCACTGACCCAGGCAACACATATAATACATCAGGAATGGAGTTATTCTGCAATGCTTAAAAGAGATCAGATAGATCAATATGAAACAACTCAAGGCCCGGTGCACAGATTCATGCACTAGTGGGTTCCTTTGGCCTAGCCTGTGGGAATCAATGGACCTCCATGCCACTGCAGCCCGGCCTTACCCACCAGCTCGTTGGGCTCCAGCCTGCTGTTCGTGTCGATCCCGCACAGCATAAAGTAATGTGTGGCTAGGGAAGAGCTTGGGCTGGGCACTGTGCCTTTCCTGCTCATCCTGGCCCCGCTGCACCGGCTGCCGCCATAGCTAGGAGTGCAAGGGGAGTGTCCGTGGGAGAGTCTTGTGCCACTGAGCGGTGCTTCCACTGACCACCAGGGGGCAGCTCCTGTGTTGAGCGTCTTAGCTACCAGCTGGTTGTCCAGTCATTTAGTTGCTTAGGCTTATATATATATATATATATATATATATATATATGGCCAAATACATTATGTGAAATGAGCCATTTTCAGTAAAAAGAGTTTGATACAGTTTTTATAAGAACAAATTCTACATACAGTACAACCTCACTTAATGGCAATAGGTTCTGTGACCCAAAGGTTGAGAACCGCTAGCAGGGTGGCCTAAGACCATCGGAAAACACAGATATTTACATTACGATTCATTAACAGTAGGAAAATTACAGTTATGAAGTAGCAAAGAAAATAATGTTTGGTTGGGGGTCACCACAACATGAGGAACTGTATTAAAGGGTCGCGGCATTGAAAGGTTGAGAACCACTGGGCTAGGGGGATGAATGTAAGGTGTTGCAAAATCAAGTAACTGTTGGCTGTCATAAGACCCAAAAGACTGACTCACAGGCTTCTCAATGCTTTCTGCTACAATGAGGAATCCATTTCCTTCACTGAGACCCCAGAGGAAAACGAAAACCCAAGTAAAACCTAAGTATGAGAGACTGCTCCCATGAAACCCTTTTAAACTTACAAGCCATTTTTTACCTCGTCATCCTGAACTTGATAAAAAGCAAAAGGATGGGTAAAAAATATGGTTAGACTTCTTTTTATCCTTTCAACTTAACTTCACCTAAAAAGAGCTTCATAAAGCATCAAGGCTCCAACAGTCAAGAATGCACAGATCAGGCAAAACCCGAGAGCCAGCAGCGAGGGAACAGCCCCTCCAGCTCCGGTTCCCAGCTCTCCCTCTGACCTAGAAAAAGGCTGTGCGGAGCCAAGGAGGACAGGACAGGATTGATTCAAGCACTACTGGATCGAGGCTAACAGGATCTTCCTGACGCCAGGCCCTAGAGGCAGAAATTAACCACAGTCACTCAGGGAACAAGACTCCACTTAATGACCTGGTGAGGAAGCAGAGATGGGGCCAGTGGATTGGGGCAGAGGAGAGGGGAGTTTGGGGGCTCTAGTAAAAGCCTTTAAGGGGACAATGGATGGCAGGGACAGGAGTGGGTGAGATGAGCTCATATTTTCTTCATTAATTGACATTTCCAGAAAGCACAGCGGCTATTGGGGTGTATGTGTCTGGGCTGAGATGCGAAGTTCAGAAGGAAAAGGAGTTAGTGTGGAAACCCTTCCTTAAACCAAAGGTATTCGGTCTCCATATAACTAAATCCAAGTGTCTTTTGCTAAATCACGACGGCTCTCAATGAATTTCGGAAGTACATTTCAGATGGTTTACCTGAAAATATCTAGGCTACAGGGTATAAATAAAATTTGCTTTGGAGCACCTTGGGGATGAGACAGGGGAGCGTGGGAGGGAGAGATAATTTTAGTGATTATATGTTGAAATGTCAATATTGGGTTAAATCAAATGACCTGGTCCTTCTGTATTTTCTGAAACACTCGCAGAATATTAAAACCACCTGTGGCTTACATTCTACTGGACAGTGCTCCTCTAAGCCAGGGGTTAACAAACTATGGTCTGTAAGCCAAACCCTCTCCACTGCCTGCTTTTGCGAGCCCTGTGAGCTATTATGGTTTTTACATTTTTAAGTGATTGAAAATAAATCAAAGGAGTAATCATTTGTGACCCATGAAAATTATATGAAATTCAAGTTTCAGTGTCCATACCAGAGCTTTATTGGAAAAGAGCCATAATCATTTGTTTCAGATTCTGTATGGTTATTTTCGCACTCCTACAGCAGAAATGTCCTGGCCTATTAAGCCAAAAATACTATCTGGTTATGTACAGAAAAAACTTACCAATGCCTGCTCTACCCATAGTTCCTTCTTTCTCTTCCTGGGATATATAACTATTGCCTCTCCCTTGATATGATAGCCTCTGCAAAGATGTACACTTTCTCACGTGTTCGGCGAACTACTGCCAGCGCCCAGGACAGTGCCTGGCACATAGTAGGTGTTTTATAAATATTTTTTTGGTCAATCCATTTTAAAATTCACATTTTGGGGATGTGGAGAAAGCACTTCATTATTTAAACAACACGAATCACCACCACTACAACCTACTGTCTTTATTTCTCAACCAGGAAATCTGAGGTTAATTAAGACCCAAACAAACCCACACGTTGTGAGGCCGGAAAGGAAACGCTGATCCTTGACCTGGAAACTTGCTGCGACTGGAGACCAGCACCAGCACCCGTACGATGATAAAGGGAGCACAGGTGTTAAAAACAAGTTACATTTTATTAATGAGTTCCATGATTTTTAATGCTTTTTTTGCCCCTCTTATAGGGGAAAGGTAAAGCTGTCCCAGTTATCAAAAAATTCAAATCTCCTTTTCTTCTCTGGACTGCCCGTCTCTGTGCCCCCATCCGGCCAGTCTCCCAGGTCCTGGGAGCCACTCCCAGACGTTCCCGAAGCACTTCCCGGGTCAAAGGCCTCCAACGCCTCCAGGAGCTCCTTGTCGCTTCCTTCCTCCTCAAAGGACTTCTGGAACAGGTCGTAGATCTTCTGCTGCTTTGGGTCCTTCATCGGAGGAAGAAAAGGAAAGATGAAAGGACCCGGCGGCACCCTGACTCCCTGCAGTGGCTGGTGGGGGCACACAGGGAGGCCGCACATCTCCTGGTGTCGGTGGGCGCCGTGCGAGCGCAGGCCGCTCATCCCTGACCAGCCTTGCTGCCAAGTGTCTGGCATCTTCTCTCCTGCTCATTCGATAAAGAAAAAAAGACATGCTGTCCTTTCAGATGGGAAGTGATAGGAAAGGCCACTAAGGCCAGCCCCTCACTGTGCTGAGCTCTCATCCCTCCATCTGAACAGCAAGGCCACGGAAGTGCCACATGCAGGCAGCCTGTTCCAGGGAGAAATAACTGTTAACATGCATTCGTTATGGTGATGGTACCATAACTTGGAGCAGGCAAATGCCAAGGTCAGATTGGTATTTCCACAAGAAAAGGAGGGCACCTCCGTCTCCTGACTCTGCGTCCCTGCGTTAGGCTAAGCTCTCAACCACCCGAGTGGAAACACGAGCCTCTGGAACTGCTCCTTGCTCCTCTCCATGAGTTTCGCTGAAACTCCGAAACAGGAGAGAGAGACGGTGGCAGCCCTTGGGCTGGAGCACTGGGCCCGGGTAGGCTTGCTGGGCCCCAGCTGTCCTCTCCAGAGGCCAACAAGCCTCCTCTGAGCACTCTGACAAGGCCCCTCTGGCCATGGAAGGAGGCACTGGCCTCTTTCTCTCCCAGGTCATCAGAGCAGCTGGCAAAACAAGGCCTGTGACTGTGAGCAAATCACAATGTTCTGCATGCCTCAGTTTACCCCTCTGTAAAATGGGAGACACTGAGAACAAAATGCAATGGCTGAGCAGCAGTAAGTGGCATAAAAGCGGTACCTGACTTTGAACATGCCTCATTCTGTGCTGAGGACGTGGTCCGAGGCAGCCCTGCTAGGGTTTGCTATGTACTTTGTGCAATAAATCAACGGCCGCACAGGAAATTTTCTGCCAGTCTGAGACGGTCTGATGGGAGGGGCAGCATGTGGAAGCCCTGGTGTTATGAGACTCTGAGGGAAGGTCCAAAGCAGGAGTCAGTGTCACCACTTGTCCATGGAGGAAGCACACGTGGACTGGCCTGAGACTGACTGCACCGTCATCTCCAGCTCCCGGGCTGGGCGGCCCCAGGAGTGATCACGCCTTCCTGCCCAGGCCCCAGGGGCTGGCAGGCAGCTTAGTGCCTCCTTCGGCCCCAGCGGTGAGGAGCCGTGCCGGCTTTACCTTGTAGATGTAATCAGTGGCTTCTGTCATTTCTGAAAAATTGGCCTCAGAAACGCCGGCTTCACCCAGAACTTTAATCTTCTCTTGGATCAGAGGCCTGTTGGGAAGAAACGAGCCACAATGAAGCCACCCTGCACAGAACACAGGGGAAAGCGACCATCCTCCTCGTCCTCAGGGCAGTGACATGCCTGCTGCCTCACATCATCGTATCTCTCAAGGCACAGACACCCCCCTGAAGTACCTGCCTCCTCTCAACTGGGAACCAACCAATTTCGTACTCGGATTATCAGGTTCACAATTCTCCCTGCCAGAAGGTGTGTAGGAAATAAATGCAGCATTCTGAACCCGGTGCTGTTGTGAGCTGCCCAGTTAACACACCCACTGAACCAGGAGAAGGCAGTAGGCATGAGCCACGCATGCTGCAGAGGTAAGCCCCCTCAGGCACGAGGCTGGGAACAGATGCGCAGTGGAAACGGAGACAATCAGGAAACTTACTATGAGGAAGGGGGAAATGGAAGGGCATGCTGGGAGTTTTGCTCAGTACCAGACATGAGCCCAGCTGTGCTGATGCAGCAGCCCCTGGCCTGGGGGGAGCCACTTCCTCCCGATGGCCCAGCAGCCGTCCCAGCCTCGTCATAAAGGGGCCAGGGGCTGCACCCTGGCTCAGCAAGTGCCGCCTCACAATCAGTCTCCTCCCTTGTCTCAGGCCAGAGGGAAGGAGCCACAGCCCTTATTCCTGTTGGATTTCCTCCTGCGCCTGCAGGTCCCCAGTGAATGCTGGGGGGAGCCGGGCGTGCTCATGGTGACGGTGGGAGGAAGCCCTCAGCAAAAGCAGAAGCCCTTCGGGAGGAAAGGAAACACATCCTCGAGGTCCACCCTTGTTCACGCCCAACTGCCGGGCCAGTGGCCAGCCGTACCAGAGGTAGTCGTCAGCCGTGCCTCTCGCCACCAGGTAGTGGATGCCCACGGAGCTGGACTGTCCGATGCGGTGCACCCGGTCCTCGGCCTGCATCAGCACCTGCGGGTCCCGGGGGTCAGTATGCAGGGCGAGGCCTGAGCGGCCCAGCCCACCATACAGGCAGCCCCGGCCCCCAGCCCCAGCACCACGCTTCTTCCTCAAAGGATGTCACTGCCATGCCTCACGGCGGAGGACCTGCCGGCCTCTACCTACAAACGGCCCGTCATCTGACAAAGACAGAGCCAAACAGAGGGAACTGAACCGCAGCTGGAGAGCTGTGGTGGCCTCTCCTGTTGGGCCCAGTGCTCAGCGCTGTGAAGGGGGAGCGAGCTTTGGCTCTGCCATCAGGCTGGGTGAAGGGCAAAGAAGGAAACTGGCACATTCCAGTCTTCGCTCCGTGAATAAGAACAGTCATCTCCTAGCTAAATAGGGAGAGGCCAGCTGGGAGGGGCCAGGGTGGCACTTATATGGAGTAGCCCAGAAGGAATCATGAAAACCAGGAGCCTGTTTCCATTATAAAATGCCCTCCACTGAAGCCCACCCATCGTTAGAGCAGGTCCCTGTGCGGCAGGGAGAGCGCAGTATGTGAGGACATGCGAGGAGAAACACTTTCTGGAGCTCAGGAGGAGATTTTTTGAGTCCAAACAAAGCTTCTGTCTGCTGTCACAGCCCTTGGCTGAGCAGACAGGGCTGGTGACCGTGTTCAGGGATACCCACAGCCAGCGCCCTGTTGTGGCCACACCGGCTAGAGCAGCTGACAGCCATGGCTAATAAAAGGGACACCATGGAAAGCCAGAGGCCCAGGCAGCGAGCTGCCTGGTGCTGTTGTGAGCTACCCTCTTTGGTGACAGCTATGCACCCAGCTAGGCATCCTTCTAGCCCTCTAAAACTTCAGTTTCCCCATTGATAAGACAGAGTCCATAATACCACATAGGGGGTTACGAAGATCTAAGAGCTAGCCGATAGATGTGCGAGTCTTCAGTGAAGACTGACATGTGGAAAGTAAATGCTCCTGAGGGCTAACCGAGGTGGATGGAAGGTCATTGGCCCTAGGAACACCTTGCCTTACCCACCGACCCCAGCTCTTCCCTCCCGCAGCCATGAGCATGCCCCTTACCCCTGGGTTCCAAAACAGCTCGGCGAACACCACCAGGTCGGCCGAGGAGAAGGTGAGGCCCATGTTGGCGGCAGTGATGGACAGCACGGCCACGGCGTGCCTCTCGGACAGCTGGAAGTGCTGGCACAGCTGGTCCCGGTCCGCGGAGGAGGTGGCGCCGTCGATGCGGATGTGCGACACCTTCTGCGGGAGCGGCAGGGGAGGCGACAGACGGAGGTCATGGGTGGGGAGGCAGAGAGGGGAACGGAACAGGGGGCGACTGAAGTATTTTATTGCCTGAAATATAAACTTTGAAATAAATACAGCAAAACTTCCCATTTATTCAATCTGGGTGGGGAAACAGGAGTTTGTTGTATATTTCTCTACACTTTTTCATATATTTAAAATAGTACATAAATGTAAAAGATGAAGGAGGACAGAAGGTAATCTATGATCTCAAATTTCACAAAAAATGAAAAAGGGGTGAAAATATGTGTGAAGTTTTCTTAGGAAATCTTCTAGGAAGATTTTCACCCAATTTCCTGAGGGCCACATAACTGTACTGAAGTCTACGCAAGGCCGTGTGCAATCAACAAAGCCACCTCCACAGGATAAGGAGGAACTTGTCTCCACACAGAAAGACGATTTCTGCTACCTCATCTCTTGTCAATTTTCCAATTATTTACACAGAATGATGGGAGACCCCCTGGGACATGTTCCCAACAAGATTCTCTGGCATCTGCAGAGTATGGAGGAAGTTAAATGCACTGCTGGCATATTCTGCCCTGCCTTGTGTTCTACAAGCAAGAATGATTCTTCAGAAACATTCAGCAATGCTTCCAGAAACCACCCTCTCACTTCTTTGCTGAGCTGACCTCCACCTGCTCAGAACAGCTCAGCAGCCGCCACAAACAATAAAAGCAGCTGGTGTGGACTTTCCAAGGAAGCTTACCTTTCTCTCAAGCTCTTCAGTAATCGCATCCAGAACCACCTTGTGGTGTGCAAACACTAGAAACTTCTCTCTCCCACTTTCCAGCAGGTCCAGGATATATTCACTGCATTTGACAAAGACAACACAAATCAAACATCTGCTCATCCCGCTGAGGTTAATTATTGAAAAATGACTGTTCCTGCATCAGACGCCTTTGGGGTACCTGCCTTGCCTGGCCCATTCTCTCCCTTTCCCTCATGCCAGGTCACCTGAATAGAAGAGCGATTAGGAGCGGTGGGAAGCAAGCCGCCTTCTCCATGTGCAGCGTGAGCGCTTCCATACCTTTTGGTCCCCTCCCATACACAAGGACATTGAAGCCTTATGTTTTATGTATCTCTGATATGCTACTGCAACATTCTTATTACCTGGGCTCAAGAAGGTATCTGTGTTCTGACCGGGAATAGAACCCACCGCCTGTTGGTGTACGGGACAACACTTCAGCCACCTGAGCCACAAGGGCCAGCGTGCACTGTTTCTGACTTCCCAGGCTTATCGTGAGCAGGGCCTTACAGGCAGGGAGGTCACCGGCAGCACCCCGGAGAGGATTCACACTCCCGTGCTGCTGGCAGTGGCTCCTGCGGGGCAGCAGGGCGGTGAGCTCCCGGGACAGAGCAGCCCTCCGCTGCCTGAGGCCACCTCACAGGCAGGAGGCGCAGAGAACAGACACTGTCCGCTCCAGAGCAGGACAGACCTAAGGTTTCCCTTTATCAGCAGGTGGTAGAAAGGCAAGTGGGCTATCCCTTAACATCTAAGATGTATTTTCAAATATCACTATGGCCAGCCAGGGTACGGATTTGAGTTCCATTTGTGGATCATTGGTACCACACAGAATCTAATTAGTTTGAGAGACATAAAATTTGCCATGATATAAGCAAAAATGTTTATTGCTATAGTATTAAAAAGTCACAAGGCCATAAAATTAACTCAGCCAGCTTATAATCACCACAAGCCCCTCAGTGCCGAGTGCCTCTCTCCTCTCTACACCGCAGACACGCTTCTGCTCTGCCCTTCCACACCCCTCAGTCACCAGGCTGGAAATATTCACCTACCACACTAACCTTGGCTTCTGTACTGAAAGATGCCCATTACAATGAAAACAGACAACAGCAAAAACAAACAAAAAATTAAAAAACCCAAACAACTAGCAGAGAAAATTAGAGTTTTGAGATTTTGTAAAAACTTACCATCTTAACTATTTCTCCTTTTGTAACTCTATTGATTTGAGAGAGAGAGACAATAGCAACCTGCTGCTCCAACCATTCATTGGTTGCTTCTTTTTTTTAAAAAAAAAATATATTTTATTGATTTTTTACAGAGAGGAAGGGAGAGAGATAGAGAGCTAGAAACGTCGATGAGAGAGAAACACCGACCAGCCGCCTCTTGCACACCCCCTACCGGGGATGTGCCCGCAACCAACGTACATGCCCTTGACCAGAATCGAACCTGGGACCTTTCAGTCCGCAGACCGACGCTCTACCACTGAGCCAAACCGGTTTCGGCCATTGGTTGCTTCTTCTGCGTGCCCTGACCCGGGATCAAACCCACAACCTGGACGTATCAGGACAGCGCTCTAACCAACTGAGCTACCTGGCCAGGGCTAAGGTTTACAATCTAATTTCTACTTACTAGCTATGTGACTCTCAGGTCCAGAGAGTTCCATGAGATGTACTCAGTTTCTGCATTTAAGGATTGGGGTTAATATGACTTATCCTACTGATATCACAAAGAGTCTGTAAATGTGAAATGGGTTAACAGGAATCAAAATTGTTGGGAACGATAATGCACCATATAATTCAAATGGAATTTTGAAAAAGTATGTTCAAGGTATGCTATGGACTGAATGTTTGTGCTCCCTCCCAAAACGCATAAGTGTGACGGTACCAAAAGTAGGGCCTCTGGGAAGTGATGGAGTTAGGGCTCTTACAGAGATCCCAGAGGGCACGCTGGCCCCTTCACCATGTGAGGACACATGAGGAGACGGCTGTCTGCAAGCCAGACTCTGAGTCTGCCGGCTCCTTGAACTTGGATTTCCTAGCCTCCAGAGCTGTGAGAAATATTTGTTGTTTAAACCACCATAGTATATCAGTCCATAGTATTTTTTTTAAATGGCAGCCTGAATGGACTAAGACCAGGTATTACCAAGTTTATTTATAAGGTGGGAAATGTTTAGATTTACAATTTCTAAGGAAAATGGTTGCATCTAAGCTCAGCACTCCACCAACCTTGGATTTTGTAGTTCACGAGCTGAGGGAGGGGACTGACACCCTTGCCATCTGCTATTTGGCAGCACGTGGATAAATGGACTGGTGGGTGGGGCAGTTCGGATTGTTTCTGTGAGATGTTTGCAGGCCATAAAACACATCTGGAGTTTGCCACAGTGTTCTAAATGCAAGGGCCATGCCCGAGGGTGATGGAGAGCTGGCAGCACTCCGCAGCTTTGTGGGGAGTCTTAGATCTGAGCACCACGGTGAACTCACTCACTGCACTGACGGGTGCAGAGGGAGAGGCTGGTGCGGCCAGAGGCTGGTGGCTGAGTGAGGAGGGGAGGCTGTGGGTCTCAATTCACCCACAGACCTTGGTCCCTGCGGCCAACCTGGCTCTGCTCAGCCCACACCAAATTCATTTCATTGAAATTTAATCACTCGGATCATTATCCTGCCAGAGTCTCACATGAACGTTAAACAATGAAAAAGGAGGCAAACTGCACATCATTAGAACTGCCTCAAGCTTCCAGCCTGGTGATAGCGAACACGAGTGGGTGTTTCTTAAGAAGGGCAGACAAATTGAGTTTTTTAGTCAGTGGATACTCTTAAGAATAGAAATTACTTCAGACTTAGTTAGAAGGCGGAAGGAGAACTCAGTGTGGCAAAGGCCACTTGAACAACCTGAGATTCCGCTTTCCCATGGGTAAGAATGACTGGAAGCCATGTCTTTGGAGAAGAACAGAGAATCACGTTCTGGTAAGGCAGCTTCTCTTTCACAGAACCCCGGCTAGTGAGCAGTACTTTTAGCGAGAGAAAACTCCCCTTAGCGTCTGGGTCACCCACGCTCCTCCTGAGTGACAGCAGCGCCATCCAGCTCACGTGGGTTCAGGCAGGACCTCACAGGGACCCACCTGTGAGTGGGCAGTGCCTGAGGCAAACCTGCCCGTGCCTGTGGGAGAGGAGGCTGTGGGGCCCGAACCCTCACCCTCACGGTGGCAGCGAATGGCGTCTCTGCTCTCTTCTTGCAGAGAGCACTGCCGTTCTGGCGGACTGAGGTAACGGGTTTCTTTTTAAAGACGACAGAGAAGTCCACACTCGGTGACCACTTACATGACACACGGGATTTTGGCTTCGGCTGTTCTGTGGAAGAAGAGAATGAGGGCTTCTCTCTGCTGTCCTTTCTGTGGGAAGAGAAGGCGAGGGTTTAGGTCTCCCGCTCTGAGGACCCTGAGCTAAGCTGACATGCTTATCGCCACTATGAGCTTTACAAATCCTACAGCTCTAACACCAGTTACAGAGCCGAGACCCCGACTTGCCACTCAGTTCGGCCACAGAACTACCTGAGCTCCGTTCTGGCCTCGGACACATGGCAGGCACTCCGTCACCCTCCGGGGACGGGTGTGAGAGCCCAGCGGGGAGCCATGAGGAAGCTCTCTGGAAAGGCTTTCCAGGGGAGGCTGCACCTCGCTCGCCATGCTCACGTGGAAGGCAGACGTGCAGCCTTGCTGAGCACAGCTACTCACCACGGCCTGGGGACAACTTACACACGACATGGCACCGCCCACGTTCTGTGTTCCCCCTCTTCTGCCAAGCTGTGTCCATACCCAGCTGATAAGCCTCCGTCCAAGACTTGCTAAATCAATTCCAATGGACCGCGACTAGTTTATTCTTGCATCATCTCAAACCATCAGTCGAGTGTTTCTGGTATGTCTCCCACACAAGGTACATGAGTTCCCAGGAGAAAAACAAAACAAAACACACGTTCTCTAGAGTTTGCACCTAAGTAAATCCTAATGAGGAGTGTGAACACAGGAGAGGCTCACACAGTTCCATCGGAAGACAAGGAAACATTTACTATCACACTGCGCTCCCAGAGACGCAGGGCAGCTGTCTCCACCCACTAGCAAAAATGCTGTCTGTCAAAGGGCTTCTTGCTTTAGACAGTCTTTCCTCTCGGTCTTGGCAAGGAGAAAGGAACCACAGGAGTTCGGGGGGGCATGGCAGACCCATCTCACTGTGTGTGTCCTGGCAGTGCGGGCGCTGTCCCTCCTGTTGGTGCCGGAGTCCCACCGGACAGCTCAAACGTCCCGGGAACTCCTGCGGAAGAGGCACCTGACCTTGTTTCTCAGCTAGAGGCCCAGTTTACCCTGATGAGGCTCTGGACACATGGCAACCTTTGCCTGTGGCCAATGAGCCCATGAAGTCCGTTCATATACCCGCAAAGGGTCCCTTGCAGCAAGTCAGGTCCTCCAACCTCCTGTGGTCCCTGGTAGCGGGACAGAGCCAGGCTCCCCGAGGAGGGCCTCACCGCAGTGTGTGCAGCCCGTGCCCCAGGCATCCACAGTCTACAGTTCTCCTGTGTCCTTCGGGGACTGTCAAAACTCCTCCCACCCACACTCACTCACTCTGCACCTGCTGATAAGAAAGGGAGGGGGCATAATAAATGGCAAAGGGCACTTTCAGAAACTGTGCCCTAAGATTTATCAGGAGGTGGGTATGGCTTGGTGGGATGGCACACTGGCTGACCTTTTGGGAATGATGTGTCGATGTGCACCAAAGCCTCCAAAAATGTCCAACGCACCCTGGCTAGTGTGGCTCAGTTGGAGCGCTGTCCCTTACACCAAAAGGTGGTGGGTTTGATCCCTGGTCGGTATGCAACCAATCAATGTTTCTCTCTCACACCAATGTTTCTCTCCCTTCCTCTCTCTATAAAATCAATTAAAAAACAAACAAAGCTGAAACCGGTTTGGCTCAGTGGTAGAGCGTCGGTCTGCAAACTGAAAGGTCCCGGGTTCGATTCCGGTTAAGGGCATGTAGGTTGGTTGTGGGCACATCCCCAGTGGGGGGTGTGCAGGAGGCGCTGGTCGATGTTTCTCTCTCATCGACTTTTCTGGCTCTCTATCTCTCTCTCTTCCTCTCTGTAAAAAAAAAATCAATAAAATATATTTAAAAAATAAATAAATAAAATAAAAAACAAACACACATCCACACATACACACACACACACACACACACACACAACCATGCTAACCTGAGACCCAGCAACTTACTCCTTAAAATTTATTCTCATGATATTATCTGATGTGCATAAGTTTACATGTAAGCAACTTTTCCAGTGTAGTATACTTAGAATAATGAATAGTTAAATTAACTTACATATACAACTGAAAATGGGTGGCAAAATTTTAATATAACCATGTGAGAAAATACTAAGCTATGTTTAAATATTATGTTTTAAAAACAGTGGTGGGGAATCTTTTTTTCTGCCAAGGGCTATTTGGATATTTATAACATCATTCATGGGCCATACAAAATTATCAACTTAAAAATTAGCCTGCTGTATTTGGTCAAACGTTTAATTAACTCACTCCCAATGCGCTGGCAGGGCCAGACAAAACGATTTCTCGGCCTTATTTGGCCCTTGGGATAGATGTTCCTCACCCCGTTTTAAAAGAACATTTAACAACATGGAAAAGTATTCCTGATATGGTTTTGGAACCTTAATGTATGTTTACATGATTCCAATTCTGCTTTAAATATATATACACTGCTTATGACATACATAAGTTATATGTGTGTCATAAGCAGTGTATATATGCTTATGACACACATATAAGCATTTTTTTTTAGTTATATGGATATTTATATATAAACTAGAGGCCCGGTGCATGGAATTTGTGCGGGGGGGTGGGGGGGCAGGAGGGGTCCCTTAGCCCAGCCTGCACTTCTCACAATCCAGGACTGCTGGCTGCTAACCACTTGCCTGCCTGCCTGATCACCCCTTACCACTCTGCTTGCCTATCTGATCACCCCAAACCACCTCTGCCTGCCGGCCTGATAGCCCCTAACCACCTCTGCCTGCCACCTGATTTCTCACCTAACTACTTGCTCCCTGCGCTGGCCTGATCTCACCCCCTAACTGCTTGCCAACCTGATCTCACCTCTAACTGCTCTCCTCTGCCGGACTGATTGCCCCTAACTGCCTCTGCCTTGGCCCCCCCCACCATGGCTTTGTCTGGAAGGACATTGGACATCCAGTCAATCTGGTCTAATTAGCATATTACCCTTTTATTAGTATAAATGTATATATAAATAATATGTATTTTAAAGCAACAGATACATACATTAAAAAATACAAATAATAATAAATGCTGAAATTAGGTGATATAAGAGATGAGTGAATCAATCTTATAGTGTAATTATAAAACATGTTTAATAAATATTACTTATTGTAAGTACTTTATTTTTCAGATTTTATACAACAGGCATCTATTAAATTTTTAATGTGGGAGAAATCAATAGTTTCATCTTTAAAAAAGAACTCCCCCAAACTGGGTAGACGGAATACTAGTCCATTAATGATCTCATTTCTTTTGCTAGCCATGGGCCAGGAAATTTTAAATTACCTGCATTTTTTTGTCCCTGTCCGCTGGACTTTTATTAAATTAGACCCACTGGGGTTTCAAATTTCTTTTTCTATGTTGGAAATCAGAATGGACTGTCAAGCAGCGGAAGGTGAACTGATGCTGTCACCAGGAAGTCTACGCGGACTGGCTCTGTGTTTCTGTTCCTGGTCTTGCTGATCAAAAACTGGCTTTAGACAAAAGATGATTAGAGCTGGCTTTTCTTAGCCGGTGGAGAGCAGCTATCATTTCAGCTGAAAATGAGAAAAGGCTTTAGCTCACATTACATTTAATAAATTGGCTGTTTCGCCTTGGCTTCCGTGACTTAAAGCTTTTTAAAAAATGTCTTCCTCCAGATGGGAAGGTGTGAGGAAACAAAGGAAAACCCGCTTCTTGATGGGTCAGCTGTGCTTTGCTGGAGCCATGAAATTGTACAAAACTGCAGGGAAACCAGGGCCTAAAGAGTAACTATAATAACGGGGGGGAGGGGATGTTAGAGGGCGGGACTTCCTATAGATCCACAGGGCCTCCTTATTTGACCAAAACCAAGAAAGCACGATCCCCATTGAACTCTCTGGCTCAGGATTTCATGGCTGGTCAAGGTGTGAAGGGTGTCCACAGCCATCTAGTCCAACCCCCAGCTGACACTGGCTCCCCTTCTGAGTTAGGTTAGGCTGGTGCCAAATCGGTGGTCTTAGAGAGGAAAGGTTTTGATGGTCCAAACCGCAACGCTCAGAAACTTGTTTTCTCTGTGGATTTTCCACTATAAAAATGAACTTACATTCAAGAACACAAAGGAGAACCACATTTTCAAAGACTTATTAACGGAAAGAATGTAGTATCTGGTTTCAGCATCACAATGAAGGTAATCTGCATCAACTCAATTTCTTTTTCAGGGACAAACTCTTCATTTTCCTAGGACCCCATGCAGGCAGACAGCAGCTCTCAAGCATGGGCCTGGGGAGAGCTGCAGGCTCTTTCTCTGCTGGATTATTTAAGAATTACACTGCAAATTAGCCTTCATTTTCATAATCTGCAAAACACCATTAAGACTCTGGGATGCTGAAGAAGCGGGATGATAATTACCCTACAGGTGGGATTCTGAGCAGTCGGCATTCTCCTGATACATTTTTCCAGCACCAAGCCCATGAGGCAGGCCATGGGCTTCCTTTTTTAGGTAAGAAAACATCAAAATATGCCAAATAATCTAAGGGACTTGCACAGCTACCAGAGTTATAAAACACCCAACATTCATGATTCCCAGGGCTCAGCCTAATGAATTTCACAGCACAGCCTGCAAACTCAGGAAATCAAACTCTCAGGTTACATGTGAAACCACTGGTAGAGCACTCACCTAACCTGAGGAATGATGCAAGGTGGTGGAAAGTTTAAAAAAAAATGCTTTCAAACCTTGCTGCACTAAGTACAGAATTCCCACACCCCTCTCTTGTTGGCCACATGGCACAATGTATAGCTGCCTCTTGGCCAGTTAATGGGACTTTCATCCTCAGTTCTAAGGCCCACTGGCTGCCTTTGCAGTTGTTTACGTTGGCTCTCAACCTGGTTCAGAAGGTGGACCAGGTGCAGGCCAGAGTGTTCTCCAGGAAAGCCCACGGAATGCAGACGGACTTATTCCCATCACACACGCAAGGAACTAAAACATTGCATTTGACAAATTCGCATCTAAAAATATCACACTTCTGCATTTTTTCCATTCACGTTCTGTTTGCTGTACTTACTCAATGACTTTCTATCTGGCAGAGTTCACAGTAGACAGAAGTTAGGCCTTACTGGTTTAAGACAGTTATAAGAAAAACCTTAAAATTGAGAAAACGTTTCCATTCATTGAATTTTCATTTGTAGAAACCAGAAAAGATCACCAAGACTGATTTTAGCAACAGAATGCTCTGGTTCTACTCGTGGTTTCACTGAAATACAACTTCAGAACCATCGGTCTGTATATCCACATCAACTTGTGAACTCTGAAAACTCTAGGCCATCCAGATAATTATACGTAATATGGCAAAAATTAATACAGCTTGATAATTGATCCATGTATCCTGTAGCCTACCTTATGTTTCTTTTTTTAATATTGCCTTTTTAAAAAATATATGTTTTTATTGATTTTAGGGAGAGGAAGGGAAAGGGAGAGAAACATCAATTGGCTGCCTCCTGCACTATTTCTATTGTAGACTGAGCCCAAAACCTGTGCATGTGCATTGACCAGGAATCAAACCAGGGACCTCTCTGTGTATGGGACAAAGCTCAGCCAACAGAGCCACACCCACCCGGCCTCCTCTGTTTCTTACCAGTTAGTCTGCTTGATCACATGGTAAAATGACATTAACAAAACACACACACCACACATTCTGTCTTATCATTCTTATCTGTTCTGTAATCTTCCAGAAGGCTGAGCGCTCATCTAGATCTAAGTCTCTTCATGCAGGGCAATACCAGGCCCAGATAATGCTTTGTGATAATGTCAAAAATGCCAATGTCATCTTCTTGGCAATGAAAATTGCTACGTTTCATCCCACAAAGACAGAAATGGAGCTGGTGTGGATTATCTTGTGGTACTTAGCATAGTAAGACACTAACAAAGGATATGAAATGGAAGTTTTGAAATGATAAAACCACCATAGTGGAAATAGCCCTAAAATATAAGGGTAACAGGCTTGGATATGGCCTCAGCTCTGCTGCACAGCAGTCTCTTAGGCAAATCATAGCCTTTATGAACCTCAGTTTCCCTGTCTGTAAAATGAGGGTCCTGCCAACCATAAATGATGTAATAAGGAGACAAAGGATTGAAAAGGCTTGAAAACTCGATTTTGTTAAATAACCATTAATTTGTTAGAGCAAATTCTATGACTAAAGCAAATGACTACAGCATATTCATATGCCTTTCAGCAAAAACAATTATTGCTTGTCTCATTTTTGATTCTTATAAGTATATCTCCAGTGGGACACGATCTCACTCATCTAGGGGAAATGGTGAACAACATAGACTGATGAACAAGAACAGACCCAGAGATAAGGAGCCATGGGTCAGACTGTTGGACCTCAAAGGGAGGGTGGGGATAAAAGGGAGAGATCAACCAAAGGACTTATGTGCACACATATGAGCCTAACCAGTGGTCAAGGACAATAGGGGGTGGGGGATTGGAATGGGGAGTTGAGGACAAATGTGATACCTTAATCAATATAGAAATTAAAAAAAAAAATAAAGCAAATGACATGGGATGGTTAGAGGGTTAATATGTATATCAAATACACATAGAACTAATTTCTAGTAGTTGTGCCTATACTGAGGCAATCTCAAAACACTAAGTATAAATTCTGACTTTCTTTCAGAGATTCAGAATACATATCATCATCCTGCAGATTGCCCCGATGACCACCCATCAACAGTGATCTCCACAAGCATAAACCTGCAAATTAAAAGATTTGCAAAGTAGACTAGTCCGGCTGAGAAGCGAAGCGGGCACTGTCCTTGCCCAGGGAGGGCGCCGGAGAGGAGGTTCGGAGAGCTCGGGGTGACCTCCACAGAACCCCCACGGGAAGGAACACCTGTGAACACAGCTTCCCCATCCCGGTCTCCAGCCCAGACTCACAGACTTGTCCTTGGTGGTCATCTCCTTGGCTGCGGCATCCAGGGACGCTCTGGCCTTGGCGCTGAGCCGGCCCGGGGCCACCACCACCATCTTGCGCTGCTTGGCCGGGAGCTGGGCGAGCACGTCGGACTTGAGGCGCCGCAGCATGACCGCCTCCTCCAGCAGCAGCTTCAGCTCCCCCAGGTTGGAGGAGCCGGAGTAATCCCAGCCCCAGGCGTGCTGTGGAGGAGACACAATGTGAGACCCAGGGCCCAGGATGGGGCTGTCCCCGCCTCTCACAACCTCCTCTTCCCCGGCTTTGTGCAGCGAACATCAAGTGGCTTTAAAGGATGAATACAACACCACGTGAGAAACAGGAAGGAAGAGGGAAAGGGGAGCCAAGAATGGGGCGAACAGAAATCACCTGTCATGGTGTTCTACAATCTGGCACTAATTTGCTTCCTAGCAGCAAATGCAAGGTGTCAGCGGTTTGGTGTCCATTACATTAAAAAACAAACAAGACCCTTGTCACACTTTCCTGTTTACACCAAATACAGAAATAACATTCCTAGGGCTCATCCTACAGGGTCCATTGTACAACCTAACACCTAATGTCGGCGATCTTTATTGGGTGAGATTTACAGGGATGTAAACACCCGTTGTTCTCAGTATGGTCACACCAACACATTCAAGAGCAATGTCATAAACACAACGGCAGTGATGGTGGGGTGGCAGGGTTGAGGGGAGGAGCCGGAACACAGATTTTTTGCCCATCTGGCTGAAACCAGAGGAGGTTCTGCATAAACCTGGCTCCCTCATTTCATAGGAGGGTGGGGGTGGGGGGGCAGCGAGCAATAATATCTACTCCCTGCCACACTGCTAGAGATGTTACAGTTAAAATAACCCATCTTTCACTAGCAATCTTCCTGGAAACCGGACTGACTTCCAGTCAGGGAGCCGGGGTGTCTGCCTCCTTAATTTGGGCCAATTATAATTGTGGGACATGGTAGATATCTAAGAAACCTTTGCTGAATTGAGAATACAAAGAGAAAGTCAAAGGTAGAGAAATAAAATAATAAAAAATTGCTTATTTAAAAAAAAATACTCTGAAATCCACTGGAAGGTCAGATAGTGCCTTCACGCTATGGGGTTGAAAATGAGCTGGGCATGGGGCACTCTCTTCAGTGGCTTCTATTAATGCGAGGAGCTGGCCACACACACAAAATGGGAGCCCCGGGCTACCGGCTGCACAGAATAAAAATCATGCTGGGAACAAGAGGATATAAGTAATCTGGATATCATGCTCCTAAGTTCTAATATTATTGGCTCTTCATCTTGCAAGTTAAAACCCATACTAAGGATTTTAAACTGGACTTCAGAATAATCACAATCCAACGAGCTTTTACTGAAAACGTACAGGCCCCAGGCACCAGGCTAGGTGGGAGAAAGAACATAGAGATGAGGAAGGCACTGCCCCTGACTGTCCTGTTGGGTGTGTCAGGAAGCAGCAGCATGGAGGGAAAGGGTGAGTTTGAGGATGGCACGAGAAACTGCAGAGGAAGGAGACTAGGAACACAGGAGGACACAGCTTGGGGAGTAAAGGCAATGATTTCCATCTTCAGCCCCTTCAGTCACTGGCTGAACAGTATCCCATGGCCCAGACAGTCAAGAAAGAGAAGAAGATCCTTTTCAGAAAGTGGATTATTTGCAAAGAGGACTAAGGTACAAATCACACATGAAGGGTTTTGAGGAAACACGAGAAGTATATACAATCTGGATTGATTCAAGGGGAGAATGCATCACAAATGTATTAAAGTGTTAAAGAAGTATGTTTAATAACAGAAATTTCCTGTCTCAGTAGCAGGCTAAAAATAGTTTGCAACTAACTTTACAAAGCACTACAATTTAATTATAAATACTTAGTTTGAATGTAAGTGGATATTTTTAAAGTACTTGAAAAGTTTTATTTTCTTTAAAAAAGTATTTAACAATAAGGCCGGCAGTCTGATTTACATCATGAACTTGCAGGGCAAGGCTCCTCCCCCAGGAATGGCACGGGCAACAGGCAATGAGTGAGCCTCAGCCAGTTCTCCAGGCGGTGTCTTTGACGCAGACAGTGGCTGGGTATATCTGTGACTGGATCACAAAGTGGGAATCTTTAGGGTCTGATTAATGAGGTTTTGGAGTCCAGCCAGTCTATGGCAGGGCCACTGCCCACAAAAAAGAGGCAGATGAAGCTCAGGGTGTGGCTCAAAGTTTACAAAGTCACAGCAGACGGACTGGAAACAAGGAGTCAACGTTCTGAACTGGGGCTTCCGGAGAGACGCAGAGGAGCCTGTGAGGAGGACAGTGACCCACGCTCAGCGGCTCGGTCAGGTTAATGACCACGAAAGAACGCAATGGCGCAGCTGGAGGAATCTGGGATTTGTGAATAATGTAATTTAAACATTTTTTAAATGTTGATTTTCTCTGCTTGTAAAAATAATCATGTTGGTGTACATTATCTTCTAGACAGATATGAAAGAATAAATGGGAGAGAGAGAGGAAGGAAGTTAGCAAGGAAGGTAGGACAGAAGGGAGGGAACATTTTGATTCCTATTTTTTTTCACTCTTGTATTTCCCATGTTATTAAATATATATTTCTTTTTTCACTAAAAATAAAAACAAAAAAAAAAACAAAAAACAAAACCATGCCAAAAAACTGAGTTCTAGAAAATGACATTTTCCTTGCAAAGATTGCTGTGGTTACAGGCTCCCTCTGCCCTCTGGAGGATGGGGCTGCACAGAGCAGCTCCTGAGTGTCAGGCCAGAGGCAGCGCTCCCTGTGGAGGCGCAGGGTCCATTGAGAGCCCGCCCGAGGCACGGGGGTCTTGCTCCCATGCCTCCTGCCCAAAGGCCTCCTCTGCCTTCCCTGCACATGTGTTCACCTTTTCAGAGGCTTTTCACACTCCTCCCCATGCCAAGTGACCTTCACCAGCCTCAGCTGCTCTTCCCTCTGTCCCGCCTCGGTCCACCCTCAGCTCGCTTCAGAGCCATTCTCTCCGGCAGGAGTTGCTGGTTCTGAGCTCCATGCACCTACGCGTTAGCCATGGTCCCTGTTGGAAAACACTAAGCTAGAACCACTAAAAGCATGAAACGTAGGAAGGATTGTTCTCATCTTACTCCAAGGACACTCCCGAGCCAGAATTAGGGGCAGGGCAGAGCTAAAATCTTAATTCAGCTCTCTGTCGGTGCTCTTCTGACCATACCATGGCCAAAGAGAAGAAACAGAAAGGTAGGGGTCAGAATCAGGTGACAGATGGGGGCTGTGAGGAAGGGGAGAGTAGGTACCCGCTTGGCATCACAGTAGCGCAGTCCGAAGGCGTGGAACTGAGGGAAGAACGTGGGCTTGACGGCGATGATCTGCGTGTACAGCTCCGCGGGCCGCGACATGGCCGGTGTGCCCGACAGTAAGATCACGCGCTTGGCCATCTAGGAAACCAACAGACAAGGTGGTGAGAAGAGAATTTCCCAAATGCCCCAATGAGATAAGAGCCCAGAAGCCAGCACAAAGGTCTTCCACTTTGGGCACCCTGACTGCTGGGGTTCTCAAGTCTGGTCATCGCAGGCCTAAGGTGGGTCCAGATTCCAAAGACTGTAACGACCAGCCTTGCTCTGGAGCTAGGCGGGGCCCTCAGGTTGTGAAGGGACTGTGATGAGAGGAACAGAGCACATGTGTGCCCGGAGCCTCATGGCATGGCCTGGGTAAGCAGCTGGATGTCATCTCCTAAGCAGCCTTTGTAGCACCTTCTGCCATCTCCACATTGCCACTTAGCATGTGACGTCGAATTCTGTATCTTCTGCCTCCCTCACTAGCCTCAAGCTTTCTGACAGCAAGGGCTAGGCTGTGCTCCTTCATTTCTGCAGCACATGCCCGGCACAGAGTAAGTAGCTAACAAACGTTCACCATATGTTGAAAACTATTCAGAAGGAGGCTGTTTAGTGCCCTGGGGACCGAGGATTAAGCCCAAAGAGCCTTGCACCGGGAGAGGCAGCAGAAGCAGGGACGGCCGCAGGCCTGCACTGCACCCGGGCCCTGACATCCATGTTGAACCTGGCAGTAGATAACGACACCGAGGACCAGCCCTACCTCACTCCAAGGACGAAGTGTGTAAGCCATGATTTGATTTCTTTGGAGGGAAAAAAAGGCCCTCCCTTACTCAGCAGCAAAGTACTCTGAGCTGGAGTCCCTGACCGAGGCTGCAGGAACTGAGGACCTTAAAGGTGGGACCCGGGGCCATTTACCTTCCCCAGTCCGGGTCTGCCACCACTCACCAGAGGGCAGAGGGGGAATACACAGTTGATTGATGAACTTCAGGTTTCTCACTACCCTGACACCAACCTGGTCCAAGGGGATTAGACCCAAACATCCCACCTCTTATTATTACGATGGAAAAGAGGGTGAGAAAGAAAGAAAGAAAGAAAAAAAAGGCACGTTCCATTGTATTAGAACAAGTAATCAACAAAGATTACGGGAGGTAAAATTCATTTCAGCTCTGGCAAGGGACCCTACTGCGGAGCTCGGCTGTCCAGAAACAGCTTGTTAACCACTGAAACCTCAGTAGTGGAAAGAGTATAAGGCAACTGCGTGCAATAAGTCACTGAGGGAGGAAATTAGGTTTTCAAATGAATACACGTGTCTCCTAAAAATAAATAAATAAAGGTGCAACCGAGGGAAGAGAATGACCCTTATAAATATACAGCATATACAATTCTCAAGATGCACCTTTGCCCTCTCAGCAGCCACCTCTACGAAATTCCATTATGACAGGAGAGCTGTGAGCCTCTCCAGCTATAATTTTCCACAGTTCAATTATCCAGGACCTCTAATTTCCTGTGCATTTAATGCAGACTCATTAAAATAACAATGAGCTTCTTGAATGGCGTCTGCAGCACTGCTTTCCTCAGTTCAACATCATTTTCATGAACCCGGGAAAATGAAAAGTCTTATCAATAAGAGAAAATCAGCCCATCAGCTGAACCTATTCCCCAGGTCATTGCTTCTGCAGTGACAGCAGCTCTCAGCTCAGGGGTGGAAATCCCCTCCAGGGTCCTCCACCCGGTATTTACAGAACAGACCAACACTGACTCGGTTCCCCCATACACTGCCCAGTCGCAATGGAACCGTTGCTAATGGACGTTTGCGGGTGTTAGGAAGCAGAGGCAGCATTTTGGAAACAGAAATGAGCTTTGAACAGAAGCCATAACGGAGTCGCATCTGTTATGAAATGGCTTAGCCTGCTCCCTGCTCAGCCCCAACTTGTTCGCACTGTCACCGCTGCCCAGCCGCCATGATTTATGTGTCACCCTCCACCTCTGAGAACTTGCATTCTAGGAAAATATAAATGCACAAAACTACATAAATCAACACTAAATTGAACACTTTATAATTCACTCCTCTAATGAAAGAAAGTAACACACATGAAACCTACACAGGAACAATATAAAAAATAATTTATATATTTGCTCTGATAGAAATTATGTGATTCACATAAGTACACACTGTCAGACGACCTAAAGATCAGGTTTAGTTTCCTCGTAGGTTTTGAGACGGGGCAGCCCTGTAGGTGAATAACAGGACTAATAGGAATATATAATTTATGAAGGAGAATCCAAAGAAGCAACTCGAAGCAGATAACCTACACATAGATTTTTTTTTTTAATGAGCAAGGAGAATGTTCTACTGTAGAGAAAAGAGCTTTAGTCATACAAGTAGAAGTAGATTGTACTCACACAAAAGAGAAACTATTATTTATTAGGAAAGGATGGTGGGACTCTGAGGGCCTTTCTCCCTCTAAAAAAAAAAGACTATTGGAAACTGTTAACAATGCTATAATACTGTTACAACAATAAAAAGCAATGTAAATAACACTCTGCTAAAGAAAACCCAAACACACCTCACTGCTCAAAAAGAGAAGATACTGCGAAGACACCTTCAGTGCTGGAGTCAGTAATAAAAAAGACCCTGTGATACGGGTTGAGTGGGAGTGGAGACGGTTATGCCTGGTCAGCCTGGACCTCAGGGGCATCTACCAAAAGGTAAAATTATGAGCCAGCAATTCTGTGTAGGGGAATTTGTCTTAAAGTATTAAAGCTATGAATATATATAATAGATGATGTTTATTTGCAGAACTATTTATAATAGCATCACAATGTCCAACACTAAGGGTTAAATTATGAACAGTGTCTATGGAACTAATGCTCACAAGCCACTAAAAGTATGACCTTGCCCTATGACCTACATGTTAGAAAAATAAACAAACTGTTCATAACGGTTTTCACTGTTGGAGGGTTTAAAGATGATTATTAAAATGTCCTTTATAGCTTTGTCTTGCCTACCACATCTATATATATATATATAAAAAGCTAATATGCAAAGTGTTCCCTTGGAAGTTCAACTGGGAGACTGGGAGTTTGACTGCTTGCTACTATGTGCGCTGACAATCAGGGGGCAGAATGGAACAAAGGAAGGCCCCAGCTGATAGCAAGCAGCCAGGGAGGGGGAGCCCCGGCTGGCAGCTGAAAGGCCCCCATTGGCCCTGATTACTGACCAGGCCCAAGGACCTTACCTGTGCATGAATTTCATGCACAGGGCCTCTAGTCTATATATATATAAAAAGCCTAAGCGACTGGTTGACCATTTGACTGGTAGCTATGACCACTAGGGGGCAGACACTCAACGCAGGAGCTGCAGAGCTGCGGTGACTTGGCAGCTGTAATTCTCAGGTGACCCACCCAGAACCAGAGAGGAGGGAGCCTGATTCTGCGGTGCATCACCAGAGAACTGCCCTCTCGTAATTCGGGACTCCTCAAGGGATGTCAGAGAGCCAGTTTTGGCCCAATCCCCACAGGCCAGGTCAAGGGATCTGGGCCTCTAGTTTATATATAAAAATAGAACCCTGCTTAGTAGCCCAGGCAAATAGTGCTGTGGAGAACAGAATCACACTTCCTAGGGGACAGTGACACAGTTTTTTACAACCTGAGCCTGCTGTCGTCATTTACAAACCAGCTTTTTCTCAATACCATCTGGCCCGGCTACCTCACAGACTGTATGATATAAACTCATCACCCCTTCATGCACATTTGCTGAAACATCTTGAACTATTAAGTCTTGAAATATGTTACCAGAATATAGTGCTAAGAGATGCATGCGTTAGAGGGACAGTCAAGTGGTATTCAGTTAGGTCCTTATACATTAGATCCTTAGAAAGTTTTAGGTGTACAACTTGATAATTTGACATCCATATGCACTACAAAGAAATTATCCACAAAAGTCTAATTGCTCCTCCACCACATAACTGACTGCCTTCACCCCTTTCTATATGGCTTTTCCAAGGCACATTTTACTTCCTAACTCTCTCATTGTTCCAAACTCTCCTTGTTCCAAAAATATTCAGTCACTTCCTTTGAGTATCTAGATCAGTGGTTCTCAACAGAGATGGGAAGTGATTTGCCACCCAGGGGATGTTTGGCAACATCTGGAGACAATTCTGGCTGTCCCAACATGGGGGCACAAGTGGCATTCAGTGGTAAAGGCTAGGGATGCTGCTACACAATGCACAGGACAGCTCCACACAACGAAGAATTACCAGCATCCCTAATCACCAGTGTTTCCCAAACTTCTGACATATGTGTACCCCTTCTATAATTTTCGTAACGCTGAGTACCCCTTGTACTTATGAGAATGTAGAATTAGGCGCAGCTAAGCACGGTGCAGTGCATATCCCCACCAAACTCAGGTGCAACGCGTACCCCCACCAAACTCTTCCCGCACCCCTGGGGGTACACGTACCACACTTTGGGAAACACTGATCTAGCCCAAAGAGTCAGTAGTGCCAAGATTGAGAAATTCCAACCTAGTTGAAAATATGGCAGAGAGTGGAAGGTTTGGTTAACAGAATAACAAACTGCCTCTCCACCCCCTGTTCAATCCTGACAGCAGGCCAGCATCGTGTGAAGTCTACGTTATGCAAGAGAGTGGCTTTCACACACCTTTATAAGCAGCAGACTGGACCCATGGCTCCTATTTTATCATTAATTCATTTAAGTTCTACAGCAAATGCAGAGTGATATATACTAGTTAACAGTTAAAAGATCTGCTTTGAATATGTCACTTTAAAGATGTAAATCCAGCTTTAAGAGGTCTGGCTCAGAAACACATATTTCAGACCCAGTACGGGGCCCAGTGTGTGGCCAAGAGTGCCTGACCAGGCAATGAAATATTAACAAGACAGTCGCTAAGAAGCTTTCCCATTATACCGTTAATGATATAATCTATCCATGTGCAGTTTTTGTCTAAACAATCCGGGGTACAGATTTAATTTTAGTTATGGCTATGATATTGGAACCACAGTAACTGAGGTCTATTAACATTTTTCAAAAGGAAACAAGGGTCAGCAGTACGGGAAAGACATTTCATTTAAGTGTGTCCACAATGGCTCTCATATTTATGGGTACTATGAGCATAGGATCAAGGTTTTTAAGTAAAGGACTTTTATTTTTAAGTTGGAGCAAATGACATAATCCTCCTTTGGAAAATGTAGCAAATTACTTGTAATTATCATATAACTTGCTATTCCTAAAACAAAACTTGAAATGACTAGACACTTGTGTGTGTTTTGTGGAGAGGTGGAAGAATTAAGTTATTTTTCAAATGCTACTAAGCTCCCCCAACATTTGACAAACTAGCTTTCCCTGGTTTCAGTATAACTCGAAGCTTCTTTTAAGCAACGAAAGCTGGTGAAACACAGACTGTTAAACACACGCTCCTGTTTTCCCAATCTACACAAACAGCAGTGGATTTCCCCGACATCCCCTCTGAGATCTCTGCCTTGGTATGACAGAAAAAGCTACTTTTCCACCTGCACTACTTCCTCCCAATATTAGGAAAAAGCTCACTGCAAAAAGATGGAAGGAAATTTTGAGGAGCCTTTCCTATGTCGGGACATAAAACGTGAGCACAGAAGTGTGTGAGATGAGACAGGGCGCTCACACTGCTCGTCAGAGTAATTTCACATAAAGATCTGAAGCTACGCTGAAGTGCACACACACACACACACCTGCTCACAGCCAGGACTCAACCAGCCGAAGTGCTCAGGCGCAAGCGCAGACCACCCCAGAAAGGGTTGTGGATGCTGACCCTCCTTTGTTAACAGAGTGCTTAGGGCAGCCTGAGAAAAGGGCATCGGCTTACAGGGCATGTCCAGCTTTGCCTGCGCTTCTTGCTGGTACCCACTGGCCTGTCTGCATAACTCATCTCCCTCGGTTCAAAGTACCGAGAGCTCTGCCCCACAGCCACTCAGAAGACGGGCAGTTTCCGCTGAGCTGCCAGGACACGCTGCTGGGGATGCCCCCTCTGCATTGCCCAGGAGCCCCGGAGGCTCTGCAGTGCAGTCCTGACCATCAGCAGGTCTTCTTTTCTAAGTGGCCGGGACCATGGCACCGACCACAGGTTCTTTAGCAGGACGGTAGGAAGGAAGTGGAATCGAGCACCACAGCCTCGAGCAGAGATGCCCTAAGCCACATCCATGGCCCACCGTCCCCACCCTGCAGCCCCTGCTCTCCTTGGACCCTTTGCCAGCCAGAGCACACCACAACGGGACCTCCAGGCTGAGTGGGCTCAGACTCTAGTCCACTCTCGGCAGGACTCACCTTGAGGAGGGGCATAGCTGCGCGACAGCGGGCCGTCTTCACGTTCTTGAGGAAGTGAGACTCATCCTGACAAGAAACAGTCACACAGGTGAACAAGGTCACATGCCATGGAGAAGGAAACAGCCCACGTTAAGCTTGACCCTGGCAAGTGCCATGTTGAGGACTCTTCCCTCAGCCCTTTCTCATTCAGACAGCTGTGGGCCTGGGAAAGTTTCTCCACCACATGCTGGGCAAGTCGCTTTCTGTCTTTGAGACTTTCCCACCTAAACAGAGGAGTTAGTGACCCTTCTGTCCTATCCGCCTCACAGGCCGCGTTGAACAAACAGCCGAAAGGTGGCTTCTTCTCTGTAAGACACACGCCTAACATCTGCCTGGCACTAAAGCAAAATGTGCTGAAGACCCACTGGGTGCCCTGCAGACCCACCAGGTGCCCTACAGTGGGGCCCAGGGCTCGCCCCCTAGCGGCAGGCAGGATGTCAGCTACACTGACAACTGATGAGATGATGATATGAGTGCTGTCACTGAGTCAGGCGTGACAAAGTACTGTGGGAACTTGGACTAAGGAGGAAGATAGGATTCCTGCCAGTCTTAGAAGAAAACGGAGTCTGGTTATTTATAGATGTGCATTCTGTGCATAAGCAAACTAAAAAAGATCATGTTTTCTAAAGCTCAGTGAGGAACTAACACATTCTTAGTATCTGGAGAAAGTTTTTCTATTTTGGTCACAGACAAATTACTTGCTATGTGACTCTGAGCAACTATTTGACCTCTCTACAGTGCCAGTTTCTCCATCTGTAAAATGGGTATAATACCAGCACCCAATGAATTGGGTTGTCTTAAACAAGCTAAGACACACAGAGCCCTTGGAACCGTCCTGCCACTTAATAAGCACGCAGCGGCTACCAGGAAGATCCTGGCTCTAACGAGGACATAGAAGACCCATCCCTCAGTTCTATTTCAGCTAAGATGAACCAAAAAAATGAGCTCAAAAACACCAATATATGGGAATGTGAGATGAATCTCCAAATGTCACTGCATCTATTCCCACAAACCTGGGGCATAACGTTTGTACTCCTGTGTGAGGATAAGCCCATACTGATAGCCAAGAAAAAGGGTTTTATGGAGAAAGTAGCAAAAAGTCCAGAGATATGGAAGGAAATTGACCCTTTTATCAATGGGTAACAACGAACCACTATTATAACTAACCACACAGAGTGGCCTCTCCTTTATATATAAAAGCGACATCTCAGGACCGTCACTTTATTCCCTCCTTCAACATTCCTCTGGGGTAGGGGGAGGACAGGGACCTTAATTCACTGTTTCACCTTAAAAACCATCCATGGTGGTAAGTCCTTTGCTAAAAATCACATGGCTGATTAAGTGTTGAGTCAGAAACAGAAACGCAGGAATTCTGCAGCCAGACGCAATCCAGCTGTGATCAGTGACTCCACTTTGCCAGCTTCGTGCCTCCGGGCAAATTATGTAACCTCTCTCACTGTCAGTTTTCATCAGCTGAGAAATGGGACAGTCTCTGCCCAGGGGCCATTGTAAGATCAGCGATTATACATCAAGTACCTGATAGAGGAACACACATGAGAAAGAAGGCTTTGGTCTTCCTACACATTGTAGAAGCATCTCCATCATCCTGGGGTACTTCTTTCAATGTTTTTATTTCACATGATTGCTGACAGTTTTTTTCACCACACTTGAATTTGTGCGAAACCAGAAATGAATCCCCCAAAGATTTGTTATCTTTTTAGCTTATAAAAATATGAACACTTAAGTTTGCTTATGCAATCAACACAGTATGATTCTCATGTCCAAATTATAATAACAGATCCTTCTCTGATTGCCACAGTACTTGGTTCACAAGACTATAAAAGCACTAAGATGTATTCTAATGACCTGTGCATGTGTCCGTCTGTCCTCCTGGACTGTCCTAGTGCACAGCGCAGTGTGGGGCTCGAAGCTGGTGCACAACTGCTAGTGGGATGAACACACGGGTGAATGTGCTTCCCAACCCCCAGCAGCCAGCCCCGTGCCCAAAGCACAGAGACCCTGCTGCTCAAAGTGCAGGTCCCTTGTTTACCTGTGCGATCCAGACCCCATTTCCTGGGCCTCCTAAAACTCTTTCCTTCCTCTCCTTCTACATGACACACGCACTCTAATCCTGATTGAGAAGCCACAATCAGGAGAGAGTTCTATTTTTAAGAGAAGGAAAACACCACTAGCTTTTAAAATTCACACATCTGAGTAAAAAAGAACCTTGCGTATCTTCTGGAGGCACTGGGTTTCGCTGTTTCACCAACAGGAACACGAAGGGTAAAAGTCCACTGGAAATCACCCACCACAGGCTCTGCCTCTGAATGCCGGTTAGTGGTTCCTGAACTGGGAGTGGAAACTGGACAGATGGGGCGGGGGCACAGGAAGCTGCACACCCTCCAAAACTTGTTTTTCCTGAGCCATGGCATCCAGTGAGTGCTGACAGGGGGCACGGACCAAGTCTCTCTAGAGACTAAAAGGAAAGCCAGTCCCTGAGAGGCGTGCCATCGCATCTGGACTTAGGCAGGCCAGAGTCCACACACAGGCCTCCACAGCCGACCTCACATGGGTAGAGACGGGCTTGGAACCCAGTGCAGACATAGTAAATAGCATTTTTCAAAAAGACCCCCTGGAATTCTAATACGTAGTCAGGGCTGAGAACTGCTAACTGAGAGAAATGAAATGATGCTTCACCACAAAATGAGACCATGATTTCTGTTCTCCTAGAGATGGAGTCAGACTCATGAGAGTACAGGTATGAAAGAAGAAAGTTTCCACTGAGATCAAGTACTTAAAGGCTTTTCCCAGTCACTTACAATGATGACAACTTTGAAGGGGGTTTTCAGCTGCTTTTCCAACTTGCTAAGGAGGTCAAAACTGACAATGTTGACCAAACCAGTTGTCAGGCGGTCCTTGCCGGTCACCACGACATTGATTTGCTCTGGCTTCAGAGACGGCAGCCACTGAAGGAAGGCCTGGGGATGACAGCAGAGAACAAACCCAAAATGACGACCCGGCCCGGCAGCTACCGGCTGTGACCACAGCCGACCCACCACCGCACTCTCACTGTGGACCAATGGCACGGCCCCTCCATGCCCTCCCGCAGTGGCTGTAACCGTTCCCCAGACGGCTACCGTCTCCGTCTTCCTCTCACCCACTCATTCCCCTCACTTTCCCTAGCAGATCACTTCCTTCCTGGGTAGCTAGTCAAGTAGCTACTCGGCGGTGCCTGCGAACTTCACTCCTGTGACCCCTAACTAGACGGCAAGTTTCTGCAGAGAAAGAACGTGCCTCTTCTAAGAGGAATTTTTGGCAAAGCTTGGTACACTGAAGGCACTAATGGTGGCATTTTCTACAAAGCGCCTGCTCTCTCCGGAAATGTTGCCATCTCGAGCCAAAGCCAGTGCCTAGGGTCAGCAGAGGCCACCCAGTGCCTCCGTGGTGGTGTCGGGGTGCTCTCTGGCATGCCTGGGCTGACATGATTCTGATACAGGGAGTGCCGGTTTTTCCCCAGCCTCATCTGACCACCTGACCCTTCCCTAGAATTTCTGAGGGTGCCGTCAGAATCTCACACACAAAATACATGCGTTGAGTTTCTGGAGGTTCTGACAGAATGCAGACCACAGACAGGAAAAGAATGTGGGACTGTGTCAAGGCACCATTTTAGAGTTTTGTTGGGCACGTCTGGGCACCAGGCTGAGCAGCTGCAGGCGGAGCTGTCTTTCCCCACGGCAGCTCATGGGGCTTAGGAAGAAGCCAAGGTGTGACGAAGCCGCCAGCCGCCACAGGCAGCATAAGGCATGGGGCTTCCTTCTTTATCAAGCTGGCTTATCTGGATTTTTATTCATGTCACAGAACCACTCTGATCCCCGGATGTATGGCAGACGAAGCTCAAGGCTGACTGATGATAACGCTAAGTTCATGTCAGATTTCTTAGCCATAAAGGTACCTGGTAGACAGGGAACTTCCTGCCCTCACCCCTTTCCACAGAGAGCAGAAGCCCTGAGCCAGGAAGTCCGGCTCTGCACGGCTCCGCGTCAGCAGGGAGTGTGGCGCTTACCCTCTCCGAGGTCAGGGTTCTCATCTGAAAATGGACTAATAGCTCTTGCACCTGCTGCACATGGCTATTGTGGGATTATGGGAACTAACGGAAGAATAACATTTTGAACATTAAGTGCAGTACAGACGAAAGGTGCTGCTAACAGGAAGTGTCTGCCAACAGAAGGAGGTGAGTCTGAGCTCTGTGGCTTTCTTCCCTGAAGGTAGAACGGGATCTACTTTGGAGCCCATGAGCCAGGCTCAGGGGGCATCTCCTCTCCATTCTGCCTTCAGCTGAAGCAGGACTTTAGAGATCCCAGGCCCTGTCCCCAAGCTGGTACCTGATTCCTCTAACCCCGAAGAAAAACTCCGAACACAACGAGCACAGACCTGCTCCCAGGTGAAGCGCACGGAGGAGGGCACCACCACCAGGAGCGGCCACTCCTTCCGGTAGAAGGCGGCGATGCAGATGGCCTGGATGGTCTTCCCCAGGCCCATGTCGTCGGCAAGCAGCAGGCGGCCTCCTTTGGCGATGGCAAAGCTGGAAGCAGACAAGGTAAGGACAGTAACACAACCTGTTCCCCAGGGGCACGAGTGTGCCTGCCACCAGTAAAGTGACACGTGTGCATGGCTCGGTGTAGGCTGTGCGCAGCCAGCATGGGCCTGCTCACGAGAAGAGATCTGCTCCCCAAAGAGGGAATAATCGGGGAGCAGAATTATAATTTAAAAAGGACTCAAAAGGGGGAAATGGTGGTCACAGGTAGGGAGAAGCCTGTAAGATAATCAGGTCATGCAGTCTGCAGTCACCCTCAGCCCCACGTAGGCGAGGCCGAGGGTGTGAAGGACAGTAGGAAACGGTCTCTAATAAGGGGCTGGGCGGAGTACCCTTGTTCACACAAGAGAACTGCCTAGAGGGGAGGGGAGAACTTAGAGATGAAGATCAGAGGATGCTGTGTGCAAAGGGCAGAGGGAAGGAACCAGCAAAGACAACATGCTGCAGAGGAGGGCAGCCAGAGGACAGGGTGGAACAGGGAGTTTATCTAACAGGGAGCAGCAATCTCAGCAAAGACGCTCACTAGTCAGCAGTCTCCAGGCTCCAAGCCTTCCTGTGCAAAACTCTTGCTAACAGTTTGTAAATAAGGGTGAAGTCCACTCTTTTGGAGCCCAATTTGATGGGCTGGAATCCCCATTCCACCACTCAGAGGAAAGTTATCTAACCTCCTGGTGCCTCAGCCACAGATGGGAGTAACGACAGGTTCTACCCAGAGACTGTTTAGAAGATTCATGAAGTTAATAAGTAAAGCACTTAAAACAGGATCAGAGGAATGTTCGCTTATAGCTACTATTTGACAAAAAGGCACAACCGTAAGAATGACTCGCTCGAGTCATCTGATGACTCAGTGAAACGCTGAGGGGATCCCGAGTGCCAGCTGTCTGGTCTCCTGCTCCACACACCCGTCCCCGTTCAGATGATTCTGAAAAACTATCATCTGCTCAGAAACCTGGTAATAAGCAAGATGACTAACTTTTTCTTTCCTTCTCACACAGTAAAGATAGAGAACGTAATCTCTTTTAATCAGCAGCTGCTTTGGGATGCTGGGCTGATGGATGTGAGCTGGAAGTCCCTGGCAGGCCCAGCTGCCACACCTGAGTAGCATCAGGCTGAGAATAAAGCCAACTAAGAGGAAAGCAGAGCTGAGAGACAGGATCTGAAGAGATCTTTTTAGATTCTGGGTTTTCTATTACATGCACTGAGAAATCCCTTTCTTCAACTAGTGTGAGTAGGTTTATGCTCACTCACAGAATGTGAGATCAGTGGTTACACTGAGGCTCTGGTACCAGCACACCTGGCTGTTCAATGCCTAATGGCTCCCAGGTGTCTGTGAAAGATGAGCATTCACCAAAGAAGGAGCATCTGGACACAGCTGGTGGGGAGGGATGAAACGCGAGGGAAAGGGAGCAAGAGGCAGCCCAGGCACCTACTTGACGCCAGCCCTCTGGAAGGGCAGCAGACTGGACACGAGCTTGGGGTCCACTCCAGAGAGGTCGGCCTCAGGGATGTCCACCGTGGGACGAAGAGACGTCTTCTCCAGCTGAGCAGCAAAGGCCAGGGTGAGGGTCTTGGGCAGCGGATTCAGCTGCACTTGCGAGAGGCAGCGCACCCTTTCAACTAGAAGGGAAGGAGAGAGGCGTATGAATGGGCGTGTTATGTCCAAGCGATTCAGGGGTTACGAAACACAAAGTTCAATGGCTGGAATTCTGCTGCATGCCAACTTAAAAAACCAACCGGACAGAACATCAGGGCTGACAGACGCATGCTAGAGAACAAGTCTTCCCTCTCTAGTTCTTAATTTCTGCAAATATGAGGGCAATCGGTCACACAAAATTGATTTTCTATATTATACAAACACTAGAAAGCAATACAAAGTGATTTTGTGACTGATCTTTTTTTTAACCTAAAATAATGTGAAAAAAATATCTTAGTATTCCCATTCAAATAAGGAAAAAAATCAGCCTAGAAAAAGCAAGAATTAAAATGAAAAAATCTTGTCTCCTTTCCAATCTCCTCATGTTTATTTTGGTTCCGGACATTTGAGAAGCCAGAGAACTCTAAGTCACCTGCTGTCAACAGGCCAGGAAGCACTGAGCTCCACACAGAGAAGATGCTAGGCATTTCTGAGAAAGACAGTAAGATGGTACTTACTTCCAAACAACAACGGGCCAAGTCCACGCAAAGGCCACTGATAACAATGCATGTGGCCCTGCACACTCTTGACCCTTTCAGCCAGAGAATGACCGCCCCTTGAGAGCTAAGTTGTATAGTAGATCTCGGTGATGAGGCAGCCAGAACACCCATTTGTCCTGAGGTAGCCTGTAGCTCCCTACCCAGCCTCCGAAGCAGGTACTGGCAAGCAAAGGCCCGTGGGCCAGATCGGCCTGTTTCTGTAAACGAAGGTTTACTGGACACAGTTGTGCCAGTTTGTTTATGGATTATCACGGCTGCTTTCATGCTACAGAGTTGTGCAGTTGGGACAAATACCGAATGGCCCACAAAACCTAAAATATTTCCTCTGGCCCTTTGCAAAGAGCATTTACCAACCCTGGTAAGTTCAGTCTGATGTCCCGTTACAGTTCATCTTCAGGGGTCTCTACTTTCAAGTGTGAGGAACCAGACCTCCATACAAAAACAAAAAACAAAAACAAAAATCTCTTTTTCTCATCAAAATCCATTAACCCAAGTGGGAAAAATAAATTACCTGAGATCTATATGAAAATGGTAGCAAATTAATTTCACTGATCTTACTCTTTGAAAGAATTTAAGCCTCACCTGATTTTAAAACTAAGTAAGAGGGGAAAATCTTCTTCAACAGAGAAAAGGAAAAAGAATAAACCAGGATACAAATGAAACATACAATTTGGGGGGAATGGGCAGGGGAAGATTAAAAATCCAAGTTAGACTTAGAGATCGCTAACGGCAGAAGAATCATTAACACACCAATCACAGCCCTCTGTCCTCTGGGTTGCAGCTTTCTAATGCTCTTCCCTTTTGGAAAACCCGGTTAGAAGAGTGCCCACTGCTCACAGACCCTCATTTGCTCTGTGCCCTTTCCTTTCCAGGGGCACCCTGGGACAGTCACATAGAACCAAGGGGCTTACTGTGCTCAGGAACCCATAATGAGAAACTGGGCATGTTTCATTTCTACCCAATATTGTCTGAAATCCTAAGGCTGCTGGTTCTCTATTCCATATGGTCATGCTTTTCCTTAATATTATCACAAATGATTACAAGGTGTTTTGCTACACAACCAATTGGCTTACAATTGCAAATATCGATGTGAATTTGGAGGACTGAGCCACACACTGCCTTAAATAGCTTTGTACTTTCAATGCATTGAAATTCATTCCGTCCTTCACTAAATATATGTACCAGTTGTTTCTGGGAACGGCTGGCAGGACAGAATCACCAGGACGGGAAATTAGGTACGGCTGGCAGCGTCATCGTAGAGGCTGTTCGTCTTGATGCAGAAGTACATGCTAAGCCTCCAAATTAAATCTGAGCATGCTGATTTCGCCACACATCAGGAGATGGAGCACTCCACGTGCTTTCAAAACCATTTTCATTACAATCCCAGTGACCTTCAGAACTCAAACACCTGACGGAAACCGAGACACGGCTGATGATCCGGCCGCTGTGAAATACGGCGCTTTGTTAAGCGTTACGTTCTTTCAGCCACTCAAGAGGAAAAAAACTCCGCTCTGCTTCCTACCAGCTACTGTCTCCAATCCCCCGTGCTGCCACCTGGGCCGACGGGGTGTGTTTCTGAGAACGCCCCACGCACTGTCGCCGGTGGCTGTGCGGGGAGGCACCAGGAGCACGCCTGGCTCCAGAAGCCATCTAGAAGTCATTTCTGCAAAAGCGCTTTGGCAGACACCACTGAGCCACACAGCAGAGAGATGGGAATGCTTTCAAATAGCAGCTGACAAGACAGGATCGCTGAGGGGATGCAGAGTCCTTCTGGACTGTGACAGCTGGGGAAACAAAGGGCCTCAGGCCAATTTCACTGTGGGCAAAGGCCTCAAGTCTCTTAGAAAAGAGAGAGAGGAAAGCTTAGTCACCTAATCTGGAGAAAATTATTATCACGGGGTCATCAACGAGCATTCAACTACTCAAAGGCCTTACTGCCATTTTTAATTAGTTTTCCATGCACATGCTCACTAGCTCAGGGTCAGTCAGCTAACTGCCACAGAGGTACCAGCTGCAGGTGTCCTGTCTGAGAGTGATGGAACCAGAGCTCACCGGGACCTGCGACACTGCAGGGCCGTCTCCTCAGCCTCGCAGTGCGTGGGTCTGGCTTCCGAATTTCCTTCCAGGTCATGGTACAAACTCAAGATCTCAAACTTTAGTCTGAGTCTGAGTTTATCATGACCTGCAGTGCTCCCCAAAGGGAAAACAACGTTTCCTGTCTCTGGGCCTAAGCTCTTTCCAATCTATGAAATGGAGAGAATCAGTCTTCGCTTCCACAAGACATTGGAATGACCAGCAGCATGGAAAAAAGTAATGTGAACTCGGAATCCAGAATTCTTAACTCAGATCAAAGGGATTACTGATGACAAACACAAACTGTATGTCTGGCCATTGTGTGTGTTTTTCTGGATGAAGAATTGTTATTTCATCAGATATTCTAAAGACTATGTGGAACCATTATATTATATTGTGAGTCTAGAGTCATGGTTCTCAATGTTACATTCACCTGCGAATGCTCTAAGTATCCTGCTTTTTATCCTTCCATGAAAGTCAAGCCTTTATAGCTAACACATTTATGTCTTTCTGTGGTTGAAAGACAAAGGGATGAGAAGGAAAAAATCACTCTTATTGCTCACCAAAAAATTGGCTTTGGCCAGAGTTCGCCCTGAATCACAAGCTCCAAACACAGCAGCCATGGGGTCTCAGATCCTTTCTGCTTCAGCCAGTGTTCCCTGATACTAAGTACCTCATCATATTCAAACTTAGCCTTGAGTTTGCCACAAGCCTTTCCTCAAGGATCAAAGCCCTTCTCTTATAATTTCTGGCAGAAGGGCAGGTCTGGATTAAAGACTCCCCGACACACATTTTTTTTTTTTTTAAACTAAAAGGACAAATGGGACCCAGAATGTAGAATGCTCCGCCTGTTGTCCCACCGTAAGTCGCATAAGGAGGAGACAGAGAAAGAAGCCAGATTTCCTCTTAGTTAAAGCCCCAGCCGGGTGAGCAAGAGGGCCGCTGTCCCAGCCTCCCAGGCCTGACCAGGGGGAATACTGGCTGGGAGGCCCACCGGTCATCGGGGTCAAACAGGAGGAATGCTGACGCTAGCAGCAAACCTGCTGTGGAGCTGTGACAGCATGGCAGATGGGTGTTAGACTACCATTCAGGACAGGCTGAGATAAGACCATGTCCCCCTTCCTCAGACATATTGCATCCCCCCACCCCCACCCCCCAAGCAGGCAGAGAAGAAAAACGTTAAGTCCAAACTGGCTTCTCCTTCCTGTAGTTACATCTGTACCCACATCCCTGCCTTTGGTCCATCTCCCAAGTGCTCATTAAAGCTGTGCGCCCTGGCCCAGGCCACACCCCTGGCAGACCTCAGCCCACCTGGAGCCCAGTATTGCTGAGACCCTCCCACCTTCCTCAATCATCTGGTTCTAGAAGGAATCTGAGAGCCTGTCCTCAGTGGGCGTCCAAAGCAGCTTCCATCTAAGCGAGGCGATCCTCGCTCACCTGACCCCCACACTTCCTGATGGGCGGAGGGAGGTTTCCCGGCCTGGAACGTGACCAGCACCGCCTCACTGATGGAGGCAGAGGCCCCCGTTCGTTGGACTGTTGTAAAGCCACTCTCTCATGGGCTGGGGCTGCCTGAGAACATCCCCACCTTCCCTGGTCCTGTACGCAGCATGCACAGTCATCAAAGCGGAAGGAGGCAATTTAAGGCAGGTAATTAAAGCATAACCACTGCATGATATAAAATAAGCAAGGTGGGCATCTCACTTAGTTTATTGTGCTCTTCCAAGAGAAAGTTCCACTTCCTGGTCTTGACATCTGCAACGAGAAGAAACAAAATAAGCAAATGTGCCAGCCTGCCTCTGCTGCGTCCTCACACTCAGTCCCAGGTTTCCTAAACCTCCAGAGTTCACATGGTGTGGTGACCATGATGTCTCAAAGGCAAGAGGTTTTAAGACCCTGCTTTCTACTTGCCCAGGGAAAGGCTAAACCATTTCAAGAATGTGAATATCTATATATATAAAACGCTAAGCGACCAGTTGACCAAATGTCTGTTTGACAAACACTCAACACAGGAGCTGCCCCCTGGTGGTCAGTGTGCTTCCACAGCCAGAGCCCAGCTCAGCTTGCTGAATGGCCAGACGCAGGGCTAATGGCTGGTGAGTGCTGCAGCAGTGTGAGCCTCTCCCGATCAGGGACTGACTGGATGCAAGCCTGTGGCAGGCGCAGGGGGGCCGGGATGAGTGAGAGCGACAGGCAGGAGCAGCAGGCAGTGTTGGACTGCCAGTTTTGGCCCAATCCCCGCAGGCCATGCCAAGGATCCCCACCGGTGCACAAATCCGTGCACCAGGCCTCTAGTTAATTCATATGAGCCACACCATTTTATAAAACCACATGGCCCATGCTAAGTATGAACTCCAGGAGTTCAGAATTCTGAAGCTGATTTCTGCCCTTTACTCAGATGGGGCAGCTTTGGAAGAACCTCACAAAAATAAAGCAAAATTGTTTGGTTTGGGCCTGTGGTTGTCAATCCTGGCTGATTATTAGACTCCCCTGGAGATTTTTAAAACTACCAGTGCCCCACCTCAAACCAATGAACTCAGTGTCTCTGGGTGGGAAGTAGGCATCCACACTGACTCTGGGGGCTGGGCCCAGCAGTCTGGGCTTACCAGGCCCTCCAGGTGGTTCTGATGATGCTCAAGTTTGAGAACTACGGTCTTGGTCAACAGAAAGACATTTACTTTTATGACAACCATCTGTTTTTCTAGCTCTGCTACGAAATCTAAACAAGTAGGTTTCAATGGCTGAAGCAGGAATTTATCTGCTTCTACCAAGAAAACACTGACCAAGCGACTGGGGAAAGTTGGGGGCGTGGAGGGGTTCTCGTTGGGAGGCCTCTGAGGACAAAACAGGCCAACTGTTCACTCTCTGAACAACGCAGGCATCGCCTCTCTACAAGAGCAGCAGATCGGGAAGGCTCTACAAGAAAGCCATTTTTGAGTGTTCAAACCGAGAGAAAAACACCCTACTCTGGGACCACAGGCCACTACCCACCCTGGGAAGCAGGCAGGCAGGGGCCAATTACTTGCCGTAATTTCTAGAATCCATCTGTTTAAACAGTGCAATCAGTTCTTGTGAATAGCCAATGTCTGCCTCAAAGCGGGCCCGGGAGATGAGCATGCACTGCCCTTTGACAAAGGTGAGAGAGGGAGCCGAAGGCAAGCCGGTCTGCGCCATGCTGCTGGTCCCTTCCAGAGGCCGCAGGGTGACCGTGTGGAGGCGCTGGGCCGCTTTCACTGCAAAGGAGAAGAGGAGAACAGATGTGACAAGGTGGATGACTTGGACACGGCCCCTGGACGCTCAGGCAGGCAAAGGTCACAGGGAATTACACATGGCAGGCACTGTTGGATTGGGAAGCTTTGCAAGCATGCTTTACTTGAGGCTTTGGAAAATTCACTATTTATGGAACATTATTCTTCTGCTCCTTAAGTTTTCAAATTGGAGAAGGAAGAAGAGCACTGGAAGCTTTCTGAACCACCAGCCAGACCACACCTGCTCCTCCAGAGAAACTTCTCCATGCCAGTGTGCCCTGCACGAGGGTGACCACACACCTACTTACTCAGGGCGCTGTAGTCGGACATGCTGAAGTTCCACAGCTTGGTGTCAGGATCTAAAAGGAAACACAAACACTTGGTCTGTCCACGGTGAGGTTGATGACTGTTGTTATAATCTGTACTTGGGACACTCAATAAAAGCTTGTTGAATGAATGAATGAATGAATGCTAAATTAAAAAAGTTGGCTAAACAAGCCCCCACTGATTTACAAAATTCTTGTACAGGATGGATAGGAAATACAAGTAAGAATAATGCTTTTTATTCAATATCAAGACATTTAAGCCAGGCTCTGACATGTTATGGGCCTCACTTCAGACGGCGGAGGGCAGAGGTGGGACCCTGTGTAGCCCAGCAAAGCTCAGGTATGAGAAGGGACGTGCACTGAGGCAAGGGAGAGGTAGCCAACCTGCGCATGTAACTTGACCGTGCTGAGCCAGTCCCATCTCCTCCAAAAGAACATCTAGTTATCCCAAAAAACTGTTAGGCGTAAGAGCCACAGGGCATTGGAAGAACCTGGCAGAGGAGCTGGCCTCTCAGTAAACACGCATGCATCCTCCATATGGCTGCGTGGCAGCCCCTAATTTTGGCAGCTGCTTGAAGGAACATCTATGACAAAAGAAATCAAGGACTAAAATAGAAAAATGTTAACAACTGGTTAGACAGAATGTGCCAATGCACCCTCTTTATATTTATGAGAAACTGCTAGATTAAAAGGGATTCTAGAAATAGAAAAAAGAAAAAAAAAAATCTCTGAAATACTAGACTGAATGAAGACGCATTACCAAAATTTCTGCTGGGCAGACGCTTGAACACGGCAATGAGCTCTGCGTTGTAGCCAATCTTCACCTGGAAACGGTCTCCGTCCCTCACACATACTCCCTCCCGGGAGCTCACTGCTGTGTGAGGCGAGGCCCCCAGCGTCGGTGGGGGTCTCCCTTCGGTCCTGGGCACCGCACTCCCGGGGCCACAGAGGACGTCAGAGATGTCCGGCCCCGAGGTGGAGGGTCTGGCCGCCCTGGCCTCTAAGTGGGCTTCCCCGGGGAGCTGTCCGGAGGAAGAAGCTGGCGCATCCTGGGAACTCTTGGCGTTGGCCAAAGGCTCATGAGTCGTGTTAGCAAAGGGTGTGGATTTGGTCCCGTGGGAAACCTGAGGATGACCTTGACCCAAGAGCTGCTGGTTGGAAACCTCTGGAGGACTTTGTGCCAGGGGAGGGGAGATCCCGGTGAGAGTCACTCGATCTGGTGGGCTGTGGTGTGGGCAGGCTGTGGCCTCTTCTGGCCTCTTCCATGTCCCCTTGGCCTGCTCCAGAGTGCCGGGCTGAACACTGTGGGGATTGTGAGATGAACCACTGGTTCTCTGTTGCTTGAAAACGACGCCATGGCTCGCTGGCTTAGAAGAACCTCCGGGGAGACTGTGAGGACCCTGCTTGGCCTGCGGAGGAAGGGCCGCAATGGAGGAGCCCGGTCCCGCACTCTGCCGCTGTCCTGCTAGTTTCTCGGCTCTGCGGGCCAGAGCCTTCTGTCGATTCGCTTCAATCTTTTTCCTTTGCTCCTCTGTGAGAGGCAAGGACATTGTAATAGCAAAATGCTTATGCGGGAACATCAATCTTTAATCAGACATGTGGTAAAAGCTGGGGGAAGAAAACATTTGAAAGAAACATGAGATGTATGTACAATATTTATCGTGTGCCTACCTTGAGTTTTAACAAGCTTTTGTTCCAGGAAATGCACAAGAAGCACAACAGTGGGTATATTAAAGTTTCTTTTATAATTAACCCCTTCCCCTCTGACATACACACATAGGTAGCATAGGCTAGAACAATACCCTGACAAAAGAGAAAAAAGAAGGGTCAAACCCAAAGCTGGCGAGGCATTCCAGCTGCAATATTTTTTCCCCTCTCATCCCCTGGCCAACTGAGGTATCAGATCCCAAGGAAGTTAGGCGGTGCAAACCAAATCCACCAGATGATGAGAAGACCATTTCAAACCAGGAAGGATCGTGGATCAGACAGACATAGATCAAGACAACCACATACCATGGTGTGAGACGTGCCAACACAGACTCTTTCCAACCTAGAAGAAGAAGAAAAGCATTAGCCTCTCAGAGACGGCACACTACATTCACCCTGCCACTTCAATCCTCTTATCCTCCTTGGCCAGCCAGCCTGCACGGCCCCGACAGATGCAAGCCACGGAGCAGTGTCTGCCTTCCCAAATGCACCCCCTCGGAGCAAGCCGGTACCTTTTTTGGAAAAATAAGGGGGAATAAAAAGTAGTGCGTGCTCATTGTACAGACTCAGATGCTACATCAAGATGCAGAAAGTAAAATTAATCTGTAGTGTCACCACCCTCCAATAACCACTCTTCAGAGTGTCAAGTACAGCATGGTTCTGATTCTTTTCCCATCTATTGCCACAGACACATTATAGGGACAATATATACACTGTTTTGTACCTTATTATTATTTTTTTAATCAACTTACGTCATTTTCCTGTGAGCAGAGCCACTGTTACAACATTCTACAGCCAGAGAGCTGGACGCCCATCTCTCTGGATTGGTTCAGACTCAACAGCCCCCACCCCATGTAACAGGATGTGATGCTTATAATGACACAGGGGGCAGCACTGGTTAGGCCTCCGAGGTTCAAAGGTTTCCTTCCCGCTGGGACGCCCTTGGCTCAGGACCCCAGCCCTCCCCAGAGACCGTCCACCCCCATCGCCCAGAGTCAGGAAGGGGCTGGGGAAGGCTTCCTTCCGGGACACAGCTGAAGCCTCAGGAGCCCTGGGGAACTTCCCAACAACATCCTAACTTTCCCCGCGCCCGCGGCCCGGGGTGCCAACCAGGGAAGGCGAGGCCATGGGGTGAAGCTCCACTCGTCAGTCCCAGATCATAAGCCATCACCCAACTATGCCGGACGCCCCCTCCCCTCCCGGAGGGGACCTCTGAAATTCTCACTTTCGGGGCGCGCTTCCCGCCGGTCCGTTAGCGAAGACCACGCCCCATGCCCACCCCTACCACCTCCGCTTGGACTCACCCTCCCCGCGGCCCCCTCCCCGCTCCGGGCTGGCACTTGGTCTCGCCCGCCTCCCGGTCTACCTTCCAGCCCGGCGAGGCCCGGAGCACGGCCGCCTCCCGGCGCACCCGGCCTCCCGAGCCTGACGGCGCCGCCGCCGATGGCAGCGCCGGGCCTGGCACCGGCAGGGTGTTTGGCACATTTCCCAGCGGGCAGCACGGGCGCACTTAACGTTCAAAGTGGGCGCGGCGAACCCAGAGGCCGGAGCCGTGCCGCGGGGTCTTCTGGGACTTGTAGTTTGGGCAGGGGACCTGAGGAGACGCGGGCTCGCGGGCTCGTGGGCGAGGCGGCGCTGAAGTGGTGCACCCTGGGAGTTGTAGTCCTCGGTTTCCACCCCCGCCAAAGGTTGAGTCAAGCACCGCCAGATCAGGAAAGCTTCACACATCTGGAGCCCCGCTGTGAGAACGGTCTCCAGCGGGTTGTCAGAGTGGCCTCCAGAGGGCATCCCAGGCGGAACAGTTTGGAAGCTCTTAATAAAAAGTATCCCCTGGAGCATTCTTCCTGGCATTGGTCACCTTGCAGCTGAAGCCCCGCTCACTGGGAAATTAGCATCACCATCGTTGTCATCATCGTCATCACTGTCGTCATCATGAGGCATTGTGCTGAACAGTTAATGTGAACTATTTAATTCTCATCCTACCCGTATGGAACATATATTATTTGTATTCCCATTTTACAGGTGGGAAATCTGAGGCAGCTATTCAATAACCTTTTCAGGATTTTTTTTTTAGGCTATTTGTGGTCCTGACTGATACCCCCACTTTTGAGGGAAAATTGGTCAGCTGACGCTATCAGCGTCAGTTTACTTCATTTCTCAGTACCAGCACCCTTTCCCTTACACAACACAATCAACTCCACTTTACACATTGGTAGCAAATACAGTATTCTGCCAGTAGACACATGAGTGGTGCTATTCTGTTTTCAAATATGGCTCATCTTAAAACAAAGAGGTAGATCTCTACTTCAGAATTTTGGAAAGTGGCCAAGACATATTTTTAAGAAAAAGCAAAGCACAGCAATGTATGTAGTTTGAGCCATTAAAAAAATTTTTTTTTATCTATAAATACATGTAAACTCATAGAAAAAAATAAATTAAAAACCTCACCAAACACTTCAGGACCCTGAAGTAGGATGAGATACACTCTTCTATGTTTTAATTTACATTTTTCCGAAGTCTTTAATTTTCTTGTAATAATCATATACACCTCGTGTGAATTTTGAAACAGTAAATAAGTTTTTTGTTTTTTTTAAATGACAAAGCCATTGGTCTGTCTTGCTGGACTTGAGTGACATTTACTATTAGAAACGTTCAAATCCCAGTTCTGCCCCTTTTATTGGCCACATAAACACAGTGACTGTTATTCCATTTTCTCATCTGTAAAGCAAAATAGGAAACATTACCATCTTGCTCAGTCTCCTTGTGGTGAGGATCAAAGCAAGATAATGTGGGAGAAGTGCGTAGTGAACTGTGAAATCTCAGAACAGATGGGAGAGGGATATTGCTATTACCTGGGGTAAATCTTAGGTCTTTTCATTTCTCTACACCTGGCAGGCACTCACTTCCTGCTAGATAATGTGAACAGCAACGGATGACCACCTTTCCCTGCCCTTCCTGTCTCCCACAGAGTCAGTTAATTTGCTAAGAAAGCTGGAGCTCTGCATGTCACCCGAGCCTACCACCGATTCATGTGAGAGCCACTTCACTCACTCGTCACATCTATAAAATGATATACTGCCCTGTGATATATGCTAAGATGGCACATGGATGAGTGAACCTTGGGTCCTAGAATTCCTATAGGTTCATGGATCTTATCTCCCGAAGCTCAATTGGACCCCAAATCTGAAATTGGACTTCTTAGCAGATGTACATACCTTTCCAGTTCTAACATTTTAAAATTCCAAGAATGGGAAATTAAAGTAAGAATTCAGTAAAAAGAAGCATCTACATAGAGTAATCAGATACCATTCAGTATTCATCTCTGCTTTGTCAATAGCATCATTTATTGAGGTTTTAACATATTCAAGTTTTCTTAAAAAATTCCTATACTTCCAAAGTTCTAGAGGCAAGTTACAGTGAAAATTCATTCATTAAAGGCCTGGAGGAAAGTATAAGAGCCCAGGGATGCAGGGAGAGGGGAGAATAGTAGGAGCAGCTGAGCTCCAATTTAACTCGGAGCTTCCTGGCAACTAAAGCAAAAAAGTTAAAAAAACACACACACACACAAAAAAAAAAACTTGGGCAAGGTTTTCAAATCAATACTTACCACACAACTGAAGGCCCCAAACACAGTCAGCTGGGCGGAGCCAGGCTTGTTCAAAGGTGAAGGGTCACCTGCTTGCCTTGGAAACACCCAAGCAAAAGGACAATGGGATTAGTATTTTGTAAAGTTAAATTTTTTAAATGATTTATAAAATTTATAACGATACTGATATATATAATTATGTAAAATGACTTGAGAATTCATCTCATCGTGTTTTCTTTTAAATTATATTTTCTAATGATTTTAGTGAGAGAGGAAGGTGAAGCACAGAGAGAGAGAAACATCAATGATGAGAGAGAGACATTGATTGGCCGCTTCCTGCACGTCCCCTACTGGGGCATGTGCTGTGACCGGGAATTGAACCAGGGTCCTCTTGGTTCATGGGTTGAGGCTCAATCACTAAGCCACACCTGCAGGGCAATCTCATAGTTTTTAACGTTACATGGCTTTACTTTAGTGAAGTGACGTTTATAAATGCCTTCGCTTATCCAAATAAAAAGTTGTTTTTCCCTCCAAAATATCCAATAATGTTTGTGAATCCAAAAATCTGGCAGACACACTTGTAAGGCATTCCAGAGATGACAGAGATCTAGTTTCTGTCCCTCCAAAAGGTTATAGTATTTGGAGAGCACACGGCAGAGAGCTAAAATTTCCCAAATACTTATCCTAAAAAAGTATTTGTTGCTCTGAAATTCAAATTTAACTGGGTGTTCTATATTTTCTCTGACAACCATAAAAATGGTTCATTCCTATTACAAGTGGCACAGGACTTAATTGAGCTGCAAACAAATATACACTGAAAGATACATGAATCACAGACATACTGCTATGTCGAATTTTACTTCATTTCTTTTTTTGGAAAATATGTTTTATTGATTTTTTTACAGAGAGGAAGGGAAAGAGATAGAGAGGGATGTTTCTCACAGAAACATCGATGAGGGAGAAACATCGATCAGCTGCCCCCTGCCCTGCACACCCCCTGCTGGGGATGTGCCCGCAACCAAGGTACATGGCCCTCACCTGAATGGAACCTGGGACCCTTCAATCTGCAGGCCAACTCTATCCACTGAGCCACACCAGTCAGGGTGCTATGTCCAATTTTAAAGCTAGACGAGGCCATAGAGGCCAGATGAGCTGCTCCTGCTCGTCCGTAGATGATTGATGAAATTTACATAAATTGTAAATATATCACTATATGTACTTACATAAAATGACTTGAGAATTCATCTCGTTGTTTTTAATGTTTAACTGTCTTTTCTTTAATAAAGTTTTGATGGTTATAAATGCCTTCATTTACCAAATAAAATAAAATAGAATAGAATAAAATAAAATAAAATAAAATAAAATAAAATAAAATAAAATAAAATAAATTTTGTTATAAAAACCCAGTGCCCCATGTCACAGACCAGGCAGAGGCCAGGCTTACACAAGGCACCTCAGTCTCAACGTCAGCTCTTTCTAAACACTGCTAGGAATGACACATACAAACAGTTGTGGTTATAGTTTGTCTGGGCACTGACAACAGATTTCAGTCCTTCTCCCAGGAGCTCACACGCCAGTGATGGAGACCAGAGGCTTCCCTCTCCCCATTTCTGATCCCCGGGGAGAGGCCCTGACAGCATTCAGGGAGGGAGATCTGACAGCCTCCTCAAGGGCATGTCATCACTCAGGGTAATTACACCTGGAGCACTGCCATCAGATCCCCCAGCAGATGAAGACTCTGGGCGGATAAGGAGGCTGCCCCCTCCTCTGCAAGCTCCTCCCGCAGAGGCATTTGCATATCCAAAGCACCGAGGAGCAATGAGGAGGTTTATAAGCCAAGAAATTCACCTTCCTGGGTGGTTGTTCTGTTCCGATGGACTTAATAGCTTTGAGTCCGATCGTTCCGTTTTCCTCCCTCTCATCTGCCTCCCGAGCCCTCCTCCCCGCCCCAAACTCTAACTGTATTTTAAAGCCAGAAACTCCAATGTGATATCTACGGCTCATCCCATCATTTGGTGTAAGGTTTCCCCACAGCATCTTCATTTCTCAAACTGTTTGGTCTTGGTGGCTGTGGTTATTTCTCAAGCCTCTCAAATCTGGCACGTTTTCTGCTAAGATGGCTCGTACATTCTTTGCCAAAAGCATCGCCCTTGACACCCTGCTCCTGTTCCCTTAGAGCTCTAAATTTTCACTTTTTCTGCTCCTCCAATATGTCAAACCCCACTGTATTCACCCATTCATGCATATATTCATTTAACAACAATTCAGGGATGTAGTATGGGCCACATACTGTGCAAAGGCCCAGGGGCTGCAACAGTAAATAAGAACCCGGAGATGTTACCTTTTCTTTATAAAGCTTACAGTCTAGTTGGGGAGGCAGACCTAACTAACTAACTAACTAATTAACTAACTAACTGATAAATGCTTAAAAGACCTAAAAGAGGGCCCCAATGAGAGACTCAAGGGAGAACTATTTCAGAGTGGTCAGGAATGGCCTCCTTAAGGGGAAGCATTGAAGCTGAAACCTGCATGGGGAGAAGAGGCAGCCTTGCAGATGTCCCAGGAGGAGGGTTCTGAACCAGAGGCGGGGATAGCACACTGGCCCCGGGCAAGGAGCTAAGTAGCTTGTTCATGGATATACCAGGTAACATGAGCCCAAACTCCATTGCAGATGTCTTTTTTTTATTATTGATTTTTCACAGAGAGGAAGGGAGATAGAGAGCTAGAAATGTCGATGAGAGAGAAACATCGACCAGCTGCCTCCTACACACCCCTCACCGGGGATGTGCCCGCAACCAAGGTATGTGCCCTTGTCCGGAATCGAACCTGGGACCCTTCAGTCCACAGACTGACGCTCTATCCACTGAGCCAAACTGGTTTCGGCCATCGCAGATGTCTTACTTCCTACACC